CTGGTGCTGCCCGCCTGTTCAGGACCCCTTTGGGAGAAGCACTGCCCTACTAATCTCTCTGCAATCATCAAGGCTCAGTACAAGCTCCTTAGAAGTGTCCAGAGATGTGTCACAGAATGTCCAAGTTCTGTCATTTTGACCAAGTGCCTTAACCTCTTTGAGCCTCAATGTCTGTCTATAAAATGGGGATAAGAGCCCTAGCTTGTTTCATTCAGTGGATAGAGCATCTGCCTGCAGACTGAAGAGGCCTGGTTTGATTCCAGTCAAGGATTGATGCCCGGGTTGCAGGTTTGATCCCCAGTAGGGGGTGTGCAGGAGATAGCCATGAATGGTTCTCTCTCATCATGGTTGTTTCTATCTCTCTCTCCCTTTCCCTTCCTCTCTGAAATCAATAAAAAATATTTTTTAAAAATAAATACAGATTTTTTTTTAAATCCTATATAATAAAAGCCTAATATACAAATTGACCAAACGGTAGAATAACTGGTAGAACAATCAGTTGCTATGATGTGCACTGACCACCAGGGCCAGATGCTCAATGCAGGAACTGCCCCAACCCGCATGCCCCAGGCTGGCCAAGGTAGGTGCCAGTGGGGGTCCCCTCAATCACCCTAACAGTCGCCCCACAGATCAGCTCTGATCACCTGCCAGGCCTAGGGACCCTATCCATGCACAAGTTTCGTGCCTCGGGCCTTTAGTAAATAAATAAGGATAAAAGTAGCTCCCTCATAGAGTAGTTATAAAAGGTAAATAAGATAGTTTGTATAATAGGCTTACTATGTACTTGGCACCTAGAAAACTATTCTGCTGTCATCAATATTTTATTAGCAGAAGTAATGGTACTATCACTGGTTATGTGCCAGCTTCTTGTAGCCAAAGACCAGGTCTCCGACTTAAAGACACACAATTCTCATAGGCAGGTGGGACTTCAGACTCTTCAGTTCAGTTTCCCTAGCCTAGCTGATCAGCATCCCAATCTGGAAGCTGTTCAGCTTCAGATGCTTGGGCTCCTGGGACCAGGGGCCTTGGGCATTTGTATTTTGAACAAGCCTCTACATGCCAGGCTTGGGAACCACTTCTCTAGCCCTTGCACTTCACCTAGACAGGGAAACGGGGGCCCAAAAAAGGAAGTCCCCTGCCATTCCGTGACCCCAACTGCCTGGAAGAGGGGTGGGGATCAGAAAGTAGATCTCTAGATGCCAGTCTAGCCTTTTTCCCAAGCTAAACTGCATGGATGCCATCTCAGCTACCCCTAACCTCCTACGCAAATCCCCTCTCCTGCATACATGGTGAGCAGCCCAACAGCTCAAATATCTCCCATGCCGAGGAATGCCACGTGTGCCAAGGACACTCAATCCATTGCTGAGCATCTAATTCTCCAGCAGGTTCCTTCAACCACGTTACTGGAGAGAAATCCTTGGCATCCTCCCTGACCCCTCCTATCTCATTTCCCACCAGAACCTCGTTTGTACCCTAACGCCCAACCAGACCATGGACAGTTTGTTGTTCTGGGGGTCTCACTGCTGCAATGTCTGGCCTGCAGACATTTAAGGGTCAATGGACGTGCAAGGTCAAATGAAAGTGTGGGAGTATGCTGGCTCCCTACCCACACTAGAGCTCTAGAACTCGGGAAAGCCTCTGCTTTGTCAGCACAGAGTCAAAGTGGGATGCCTCTGTACTCGGCAGCCAACCTGAGGTCTATTTTTGAAACGGAATTTCTCCTACCAGAGATGCATTGTACAAGCGGCTGGAAGCCACCCGTCACCGCAGGGCCTTCGGCTCACTGGTAAGAAAATGCCTACCTGCGCTGTGCTCCCACCCTCCCCAATCCGGTCCCCTCTTCCCTCAGCAGAATGACTGGTATTGCCTCACACCATAGCTGCCTGCTCTTCCCAGCCCCGTGTTCCTTCCCACCTTTCATGGTGCCACGTGGGACCCCTGCTCCTGTGTCCAGATCAGATCCTGTGTTTTGCCCCACTTGTTCTCTCAGAAGCCAGCCAATACCCAGCCCCCCTGCACTGATGCTCTCGCCTCTGGATCCCTATGACACAATTTAGCAATTATGCACTGTCTGGTGCTTCCTGTAAGAAGTCAGGCCTTAAGACTGATTCAAGTTGCTAAACCCACTGTGAGCTTTGAGGGAAGGGACTGCCTCTTCATCCATCTCCCAGGACAGGGACTAGCACACAGCTCAGTAATAAATGGGGAATTCAGTCGGCCATCAAACAACTTGTTCAATGATCCCCTGGCAACAGACACCTTGCTGAGCACATAGTAGGCATATAAATCATGAGTCTTATATACTATTGTATGTCCTGCAGAAAACAGCTACTCAATATTTGAGTGAATGAATAAATGCTCAACCGACTCTGGAGTCATACAATTGCAGTAAAATCTCAGCTCCATCACTAAATTGGTGGGACTCAAAACCCTCTCCAACACGGTCTGGTGGTTATTGTGCAGATTAAAGGAGGTAATTTATAGTTAACAGCAGCTGCCTTGACTCCAAGAGTATGTTGTATTTAAGATGTTGCTTTTCCCAAGCCAAGTGTGGCTCTCAGGAGGATGGGCCCTGCCAGGGGACAATGCTGCAACCTCACAGGACCTCACCTAGTTATCCTGTTCCCAGCAGCTTTGTGACACCACACACATATCCTCCGGGCTACCCTGAAGCCCAACTCCTCCACCTCCACCCCTCCTCCACCCTTCTATCACAACTTTGCTTGGAGGCAGGGCAAGCCAGATTTTTGGAAAACAGAATCTTCCTTAACCATAAGATTTTGGTCATTATTCTAAGAGTTCTGGGACATCACAGAGAAGTTTTAACATGAAAACACCTGAGTTGTGGAAAGATCCTTCTCTGCATAAAGACTAAAGAGAGAACAGGAATGCGGAGGGTGGCCAGGGAACTGCAGTTACTCAGGAGAGGTGTGTGCTGGTGCAGAATGGTGTGGATTTTACACTTTAGGAGCTCAAGTTGTAAAAATTCATGGTGAGTTGGATTCAGGACAGCGGGATATGCAAGGAGAGCTATCAAGGAGCAGGGGAAGAGAAGGGAAGATGGTGCTTTTGAGAGCCAAAAATAATCATCTTTCAAGAAAGAGTTGAGCGTTTAAAGCTGCCTGATAATCTGGCACGTGGAGCTACAAAAGGAATTCAGGGGTGTAGTTCTAAAGCAAGCTATAAAACACCCCACTCTTCACTGGACTCCAGCCTTCTTCAGAACCACCTCTAGCTTCTCTTCTCGCCATCCTCGAAGGACTCCGGCTACCTCTCCCCAAGCCTCAGACCACCCACCTGTCCGCCCCACCACCACCACCACCACCACCACCAACCACCACACTCTAGTAGCAGGTTTGAGGGGAAGAGATGTGCTCTCCCCATTAGTAAAAGCAACCTTTCATTTTTATGGAGGCTTTCATTTTCTTTTTATTAAATTATCATCCATATCTTTCCATTGCCCCCCCTCCTCCCATAAATGCCCTCCCCTTTTATGGAGGCTTTCAAGGCCTGTTGACAGTTTGATTACTGTGGGGGCCAAGGAAGTGCTGCATTTCCAAGAACCCTTAAGTTCAGTAACACAATTGCCCACAATTTAAAATGAATTTCTGCAAGTCCCTGCTTCCAGTCACACTTGCTTAGCACGTTTCAAAGATGTATCATTGCGCATCAAAACCACCTCGAGTCAGGTCAGCAGGGCAAATACCCTTGGGGAGGCCCAATTTAAACCCAATCAGGGGACCAAGTGACTTGCCCCCTCAGCTGGACATGGGAGCATGCAGAGGGAACAAGGGTGCAAACCAGCTGCAATAGTGGCCATGTGAACTGAACACCTGTCCTGAGGCTTGTAGCCTACCTGTAAACCCTTCCAACTGCCTCTGGCAGGCAGGGCCAGTGGATACTTCCGAATATTTCGTGGATAGGAATCTGGATCTTTATGTAAAATCTGTCAAAATGCTCTGCATGTTCAAAAGCTTACAGATCAGGACAGCCAATTTGTGTCTTTTACAACATCCAGCCCAGCCATAGTTAATCACAATTCCCTTCTCCAAAGAAGCTATGGCTACTAATTGCTCTAAGAACATCTCAATAACAAAGCTCTACAGCCCTGGCTAGTGTGGGTCAGTGGTTAAAGTGCTCATGCACCAAAGGCTTTCTCTTCTGATGCCCAGGGTCCTGATCCAGATGCATGCTGGAGGTAACCAATCAATGGGTCTCTTACACTGTTTCTGTCTCCCCTCCCAGCCTGTCTAAAAACCAATGAAAAAATAGCCTTGGATGGATTAACAAAAATCCCCCACTCATAATAAACCACTCACTTACCCCATAAGCATGAACCTGCAACACACAGGTAACTATTTTGAAAGATCCTAGTCAGGATCAATAAAAATGTGACCTAATAATTTTAATTTGCATTGAGGTCAGCAAATCTTTTCAGTAACAAGAACTAAGCAGGATTCTAGAAAGAAAAAGGAATTAGATTTTAGGTGGTTCTTTCAGAAACACACCAACCGCAATGATAGCAAATAGTAAAATGAGCACTATGCACTGGCCTTACATGCTCCCACGCTACCCATCCTCTAACTCAGTGTTGCCCAGACTTTTGACCTATGTGTAACCCTTCTATAATTTTCATAATGCTGAGTACCCCTCGTACTCATGAGAACATAGAATTAGACGCAGCTAAGCACGGTGCAGTGCATATCCCCACCAAACTCTTCCCGTACCCCTGAAGGTACGCTTTCCGCACTTTGGGAAACACTGCTCTGATGTCTTTGTGCTGTTAAACGTAAGGATAAGCACCACCCCATCATACCAAGTTTTCAGCGAATTAGATTAATGGAACTTGTGAACTTGGTCTGCAATCTTAAGCCTGCTAAACAAAAGACTAGTTATACTCCCAGTCAACATCAAACAACCAGACACATAAAAGTTTATAGTTTATTAGTTCTCTCGCAAAAAAATCTGCACAACCATCACAGATAGTCACCGAAGAATCTTTACTCCTTCTGTAAATCAAAGAAAATAAAACTTAGTTAGCAACTGAACTGTATGGAATTTTAAAAATTCAAGTTCAAAGTCATCAACAAACTCCAAAATTAATGACATTCATGCAGAACAATTATTAGTAACCTAGAATCACGTTAGGTTTGTATGAACACAACACAACATAAGCATCAAGAAATAAAACATTGGGGGGGCAGGTGAAGGCATACGCGGGGTGGGGGATGGGGAGGTTGGAGGAAGGTACTACTATTTGTAATGCTTCAAACAAAAAATTTTTAAAAAATAAAACATTAAAGTTAGAAAACAAACAATGAGTTAAATGTTTCTAAATTTTAAAAACAAAGCCATGTCACTATTAGTATTTAAAACACAACTCTTGAGCACATTTATAAATCTACTTCTACATCTATTTTGCATGCTCTACTTTTAAATTAGTGACAGTAAATGAAGTCTAGTGCTCTAAATGAAAAGCTTGAATCATATATACCTGTTGTTCAATCTCCAGCTCACTGAATCAGTGGCAAGGAAAGAAGGAAAAGGGAAGGGGGGAAGAGATATTCGTTAATAGTCCCTTTTTAAACTACAAAATAACCTGCATTTAAGTGCATGCAATCAGATACCTTGAAGACGATCATTTTGCTCTTTGCAGAATGTATATAGAACACTCCTTAGACACACTTAACTGATTTTATTACTCCCAATTTTTTAGAATCTCTTGCCTGATTACTCAGGCTCTTATGCAAACAAGGTGGCATAATGACTTCACAATGAAGAGATCAGTATAATGGTAATCCCAACCCAGGCTGCCACTGCCTTCTTATAGATGGAAGTAAGCATACCCAAGCCTCAGGCCTTCTGCACTGCCCAGCAACATTGCGCTGGGCACAGTCTACAGACTTGGTGATCATCCCAGTCTAAGTCTAATTGAACCATAAAAGGAGAGCTCTAAAGTTTCAAGCAAGTGTTTTAAAACTTGCCTCAGCTCAATACTTAAAAAGCCACCATTCACAGCAAAAGTAGTGCAAATTAGTATTAAGAGGCAGAATTTAGCTAAGGTAAAAATGCTTCAACTGTTCTTCAAACATGAGAATATTTATCCCTTAATTTATAATAACTCATTGCACTCAAAAGGTAAAAAGCAAATACCATTCAATACCTAAACAAAAACTAAAATAGAAACACTAATATGCCTTTTTTTTTTTTAAGTCAAAAAAATGTATGTGCTTGCTCGCTCGCCCTCTCAGGGTAACTCAGTTGACTGAGCATCATCCGGATACACCAAGGTTGGGGGTTAGATCCCTGGTCAGGACACATACAAGAAGCAACTATTGAATGCAAAGATAAATGGGTCAATAAATCAGTGTTTTCTTCTCTCTCCCTTTCACCAATAAGTAAAAAGAAAATGCACGTGCTCATTTATGCATTCATTTTCCAGGTGGCTTTTCAGAGCAGTGCTAGTGAAATGATTGAAGTACAACTTGAAGGAGGAACAGTGATGGCTCGGGTCCCCACAGGCGGCCCCTGTGTACCTGTCACCACTGAGCACTAACACATGAAACTCAGGCTAAATGAAGAAAAAAGAATGTTAATCATCCTTCAGATCTAGATCAGAAGACAAATATATTGACTGATTCTTTTCTGCAACTTCCAGAAATTCTGTCAACCGGTAAAAGAGTGGCTCTAAGTGGCAAGTAGCTCCTCTGGCAGTTTGTCATTGTTAACCATGGCACTGGGAAGTCAGAGTGATCGGAGTGCTGTGCAGGCAGAACCCATTTGATGCCTGGTCTGGGGGAGAGAAGGGGAAGTCATAGCACACAGGGGCAGTGACCACCCGTTTCAGAATCCTACTACTTCCAGCCCAGGCTCAGCCATGTTACAACTGGTTTACACTGCTCAAATATACAAAATGTGTTTAAAATTGGATACGGGAACATTCTGACTAAGTATGTGTGGGGAAAGCATATTCATTAAAGGTTTTAATGTGAATACGCAATTATATTGAGAAATTTTTAATTAAAAAAACATATACGCCCAGCTGGCATGACTCAATGGTTGAACACTGGCCTATAAACCAGGTCATGATTCAATTTCTGGTCAGGGCACATGCACCGGGTGCAGGCTCAATTCCCACTGTGGGGCATGCAAGAGATAGCTGATCAATGACTCTTTCATCATTGATGCTTCTGTCTCTCTCTACCTCTCCCTTCCTCTCTGAAATCTAAAAAATATTTTTTTAAATATCTATCAACTCTGGCCAGGTAGCTCAGTTGACTAGTGTCATCCTGATACACTAAGATTTTGGGTTTGATTCCTGGTCAGGGGACATACAAGAATAACCAACGAATGCATAAATAAGTGGAACAACAAATCAATGTTTCTTTCTCTCTTTCCCCCCCCATTCCTCTGTCAAAAATTCAATAAATATAGAATTTACAACAGATGAAAAGTTGGGAGTAAAAAATAATGGCATGATAAAAGGCAGCTTTGAGTGGATGATCCCAGGACAGAGGTTTTGCCAACTTTCCTGGGCCAGTTTATTACCAGAGCTGCAGAGGATGGACCAGTCTCCAAAGTCCCCAAGGAAAAGACTGCATAAGTGGAGAGGACACTTCCCAAGCCTTATGTTAAGTGAAGCCATTTCCTGAGTATGTAACTTTCAGACACACAGCTTTGCAAGTGAAGTTAAAGGGAGCCTACTAAGTAGGATATCCACCTTCCTCCACTTCATACCGTTAACATGCATTTTTTGAATTCCCAAAATAAGCGTGATTAAAACCTTTCCTCCTTTGTTCACAGTACACTATCTTAAAGCATAGCAATCTATAATAATAAAAGCATAATATGCTAATTAGATTGGATGTCCTTCCGAGCCAGGGCTGTAAAGAAAGCCCAGGTCCTGGGTGCCAGAGGAAGCCCAGTGCTGGCAGCCAGGGTACGGAAGGACTACTCCTGCACGAATTTCGTGCCTCTAGTGGTGTTATAATAAACCATACTGTGAAACTCTGCTGTTCAAAAGCCAACATGCAAAGCATCAAAGCAAACTCAGTGAAGGTGATGCATCCCACACCGTGCTCAGAATCTCTGTACCTGCCAGACACTTCATTTCTGATGAACAAGAAATCCAAGATGGAAAAGGCAAAAAAAAAGTTCACAAAACACTTGATTATTTGTTAACTTAACAACCAACACCTTAATTCAACTGTTTAGAATTAGCTAGGCAAAGCTGGTAAAAAGCTGCTCATCATTAAAATCACTTAAGTCTTGGCTAACTGGAGAGGTAATTCAGATTTCAGCTGCCTCTCCAGCATGCCAGGAAAATGAGGGCCACATTGATTCACCTGCCACTTAAACCCAGTTGTGCATTTTAAAGTTCAATCTCAGAAAACTAGATCTGCATCCTGGTGAGCCTGTGCCAATTAGTAAAATGAGAACTCAGGATTGGGCTTGCAACGTGCCCACCAGGTGCTCACTGAACCGATGTGGCCCCCGGGGGTGCTAATCTGTGAGCTGTGGCGAAGCTACTGTGGGAGAAGCTACTCTACTGACGTGGTGTTAAGATACTACATTATATAGCTTCTCAAAACACATTACCTTCTGCAATCCCGAAGAAGTGGGAGGGAAGAAACATTAAGAAAAGTTATTAAAGAAAAAAAAATCTTTTTCTAGAAACTAAAGACCTGCAGTTGACACCTCTGTATTTTCCTTGATGCACCATACCTTTTTGCCAGCACCAACATTGGCCTTAGCAGTCCCCCTGACTTTCTTCATCCTGTTCTTGCGTTCCTTTCTCTGTTTTCTTGAGGTCTTCTTCTTCTCATATAAGCCATGCTGAAGGAAAAAGGAATGTATATAGATTATTTGCAAAACATCATTACCCACTAATCTAGTAGGAAAACAACCAAGCTGGAGCTCAAGAAATATAGCTTCCCAAATCAAACTTTTCAAGTGCAATTAATACTTCAACAAAAAGGGTCTGAAATTAAGAAACAGTGAGTACAAATAACACAGGAAACAAATGTCCACTCAACACTACCTGCAAGTTCAGGGGGTTCGGCTATTATTGTCCAGCCTTGAACCTACAGCTAACAAAACTGCATCCCCCTCCCACCCCCCCCCACACACACACACATTTGCCTTCTCTTCAGTCTCTTCCTTTTCATCTCCAGATTTATTATTCCCATATGACAAAGGAGCATTTTCCATGAGTTCCACCCACCCTCCATGGAGACTGCTATAATCTACTCCTCTTCACTCTGCTCACTTTTGCACTTACTGTTCCTGCTGCCTAAAACGCTGCTTCCATATCTTTACAAGGATCTCAGCTTCAGTGTCACCTCAACACCTCCCAGCACCCACTAGATAGTGCAACATCTACCAGACCACAATTTCCCTCACAGCTCTTCTCTAAGAACATTTATCTAATAACAAGGAGGAAAAGGGCTTAAGAGGATAGCCAAAGAAAATAACAATCTAGCCCCAGCCAGTTTGGCTCAGTGAATAGTGTTGGCCTGCGGACCAAAGGGTTCCAAGTTCTATTCGTCAAGGACATGTACCTGGGCTGCAGGCTCCTCCCCTGCCCAGGCCCTGGTCCTGGTGCGTGCAGGACGCAACCAAGCCATGTTTCTCTGACACTGATATTTTGCTGTATTTCCCTCTCTTTTCCACTCTCTAAAAATCAGTGGGAAAATATTCTCAGGTGAGGATTAAAAAAAAAAAAAGCACTGATCCCATTGTCCCCTTGCTAGTTTAGTTTACTACCCAAATACTACTCTGGCTCCTGGCTACCTATGGGAGTTAAGTCCAAACTCAACATTTGGTACAAAGGATCTCACTCTATTTGGTAACAACCTGTCTTTCCAAACTCACCCATACTTCCAGTTCCTATCTCCAGGAAAGTACTTTACCTGCCCTTCTAGACCCAGCTCAAAAGTTATCCCTTGCAATGCTGCAGACTCTACCTCTGAACCCCAATGCTCTCCCTGTTCCATTTCAAACCTTCTCTTAACCCTGTATTTTCCGGCGTATAAGACGACTTTTGAAACGAAAGTCAACCGAAAATCGGGGGCGAAAGACCAAAATTGCACAAAAATTGCCTGTAAATCTTGACGGCAAAGTAAGTCTTTTCTTTGAAGTGGGAGGTAGTCTTATACAGCGAATATAGGCCTAACCCTGTTTTAACTGTAAAATTGGGGGGGCCGTCTTATACGCCGGAAAATACAGTAGGTCTGTTGTCCCTCCCCGACTGCTTGCTCTTGCTTATTTCGCTGTACCCACAATACAATGCTACTGAAAAAGGTCTTCAGCAGCTGTAACAAAATGAAGATACCTACTCGTGCAAGTCTGTGTTTGGGTTCATTTTTCTTTGCGTAATCCAAGGAATCATAAATCATGCCAAAGCCAGTGGTCTTGCCACCACCGAAGTGGGTTCTGAATCCAAACACAAAGATGACATCAGGTGTGGTCTTATACATTTTGGCTAGTTTTTCCCGAATTTCTGTCTTGGGTACTGTTGCCTTCCCAGGGTGAAGGACATCGATGACCTAAAAGGAAACGTTAAGTTTAGTATTTATTATAATGTAACACATCTTTAAAAATGGAGAACATTAACCAAACCTTAATGTGCCCCTTCCGTACCATTTGCTTCCGCTGAAGTAGTCTGTTGGTCATGAACTTCCTGGTCCGGATGGTTACCGTGTCATTCTGAAAATATTAACACTAGTTAATAAAACTACTCAACCTTTTTCTTGGCCTTGTGGTGATTTCCCAAGATCTAGAACTGTGCTGTCCAAATTAGTAGACACTCACCATGTGTGGACAGTTAAATAACATTTAAAATGCAATTCCGGGGGGGTGGGGGGGGCCGCAATGGTAAAATATGTACACAGATAATTTAATTTTAAAAATTTTAAATAAAATAAAATGTAATTCCTCAGCTGCAGGAGCCAAAGTTCAAGTGTTCAAGAGCCACAGGGACTTCGTAACAGGAAAGCTTCAGTACAAAGAAAAAAGGCACAAAATTCCCATCTCCTCCTAACCCACTTCCCACGATGCACCTAGCTCACAGGACCCAAACACACAAGCAAAGTACCAAGAAAAGGCAGCCAGCAGGTGCATGTGAACCTGCATTCCTCCCCTGTGGTTTGGGAACCACCTGGAGCATGGTATCAACCTCTGCATTACGGATACTGTGGTCCCAGAAATACCTCCTTGTGGGGGCTGTCCTAAGCATTCTACTATGTTTCGGTGGCAACCTTGGCCTCTAATCACCAGGTGCCCAGAGCATCCCCACGTCCCAATTGTAACCAAAAACGTTTCCAGATTTTGTCCCCTCTGAGGCAAAAGTCACCCTCAGTTGAGAGCATTCTCTGGAGGAAAACTCACCCAGTGCTCCAGTCACCAGCATCCTGCACCAACCTGACACACGCTGCACTGCCTGCTGCCAACTACCCTTCTTCAGTGACCAACTCGACGGCCCATAAAGCCGGGTTCCCTTCTGAATGGCCCAAGGGCTCTCTTAACTACCAAGGGGTGTGGACATTTGGCATGTTTACACACTGTAATAATCTTTACCAAAACGATGGGGAAGGGGGATGCTTTCTCATTACGTCTGGTTGCTAGATTTCCACGTGTTTGAAAAACTACACCAAAGTTCACCTCCGCAGTTTCTAGTTATGAAAGCCAAGGGCTAGGGGGAAAAGGCTCGTAAAGTGGAATGAACTTAAAAAAACGACAACAAAAAAACTGGTGCCGACCCTTTCGAATGATGGCCCTAACTAGTCACAACCTGAGGATGCTGCACCTCTTCCCAGGCAGCAGTTTCCCCAAGGCGTAAGGAAAGGACCCCAGCAGCTGACAACCCTCTGGCTCACACCTGACAGCGGTCTCATCCGCCCCAACTCGCCGGGGGCTGCCGTCCCATACAAGCCGCCTAACCCACATTGCGACTGTAGGTTCTAAGTGTTTCGCGCCACCCCTTGCCCCCAATCCTGAGCTCTACGAAGCCAACAAAGCAGCAGCGGCCGCCCCCTCCTTCCTTCCCCAGGCTCTCGACTCTGATGCCCGGCGTGTCCGGATCGGCAGCGGAGCCTGGAAACCCCGCCGGTGGCTCCGGGGCCCTCGGCAACAGGCCTCGGTCCGACCCGCCAGGGAAGAGCAGCCGGGCTCCGGGCGGCCGTAGCGCAGCCGCGGGGAGCGGGGGGACGAAGGATGGCTCGGATACGCAGCGGATGGCTGCGTGAGTACGGGAGACTCACCATGATGAAGGTTTAGCCTCCAGCAGCCAGGGAGGAAAAGAGAGCCGCTCTTCCTTAGCCAATCATATCAACGCGTACGGAAGGACCCCGGCGGCGCCGGCGTGGGGGCGTGGCCAGACCGCGAGGCTGGCCACGCCAATGCCTAATTGAAAGTGCCTAAGGTCCCGCCTCATCCACCTTTGGCCACACCCAGAATCCTGAACTAACCAATAGGGAGACGGAACAGTTCAGCGATTCCTAGGTTTACTTAAGCATGTGTTCAATTTCAATTCAACTCACTGCTACCTGATTATCCCTACTTAAAACTTCTGTAAACCAAGTTATAGTTTAAATGAACTCCAGCCAAGGATAAATACCGTATTATTTCACTTACATGTAGAATCTAACGAACAAAAAAATTTGAAACATACTCATGAACGCAGAAAGCAGCGGGTGGTTGCCAAAGGGGAAGACTTGGCAGACTGAAGAGGTTAAGAAGTACAAATTGGTAGTTACAAAATAGGGAATGCAAAGCATAGATAATATAGTCAGTATCTATAATAATAAAATGGTAATATGCTAATTAGGCTGGAGGAAGCCGGGAAGGAAGGCCTACTCTTGCACGAATTTCCTGCGTTGGTCCTCTAGTATAAAATCATAGTTTATGTCAACTGTTATTGAAAAATAAATAAAAAGAAGAAAATTACATCCAGCCGAGTTAGAAGTTGGTAAAGCTGGAAGACATCGTATGTCAGTCTCCTCATTTCACAGCTAAATAAACTGCAGAAACCCTGACTCAAAACCTTTGCTATTTCAAGTGCTCAAACTGACTGTTTAGATTTACTGCTAATTAGCATTTTTGTGAGATTCTGTTGATGTTCTCTCCCCCACCTCTCTCTCTCTCTCTCTCTCTCTCTCTCTCTCTCCTGTCTGTTGATGTTCTTATTAAAAATAAATAACTTGCCGAAACCGGTTTGGCTCAATGGATAGAGCGTCGGCTTGGGGATTGAAGGGTCCAGGGTTCAATTCTGGACAAGGGCATGTGCCTTGGTTGTGGGCATATCCCCGGTAGGGGGTGTGCAAGAGGCAGCTGATTGATGACTTTCTCTCATCAATGTTTCTAACTCTCTGTCTCTCTCCCTTCCTCTCTGTACAAAATCAATAAAATATTTTTTTAAATAAATAAATAAATAAATAAATAACTCGCACTAGCCAGTTTGGCTCAATGTATAGAGCGTTGGCCTGGGAACTGAAAGATCCCAGGTTCAATTCTGGTCAAGAGCACATGCCTGGGTTGTGGGCTTGATCCCCACTGGGGGACTTGCAGGAGGCAGCCGGTTCATGATTCTCTGTCTTCATGGATGTTTCTATCTCCCTCTCTACCTCTTCCTTCCTCTCTGAAATCAATAAAAATATATTTAAAAAACAAAATAAATAACTTCTTTCTGCAAATCATAGTTCTCACAAAAAATTAGCTTTTAATGAGTACTTGCTTGATGCAGAAATTTAGTTATTCAAAGTGGAAGAGACATGTAAAGATAAAGAATTTAAGTGTGGTTGTTCAAAGAGAAGCATTAGGAAAGAACTTCCCAAAGGTTAATGTAGACCAGACGACCAGGATGCAGGCTTTGAGGGTAGCTTTCCTGTATGCTTCAGAATAATAAGAATAGTTCATATTCATTGAATGATTGCCTGTTACATTCTAATTACTTTTACCTTATTATACCACTTACCCATCCCACCAACCCTAAAATTAAGGCACTGTGGGGTCAATCGAAGATATAGCATCGACCTATGAACCAGGAGGTCACAGTTGGAATCCTTGTTGGGGTAGGAACTCAAATTCCAGTGGGGGGGGTGTACAGGACGCAGGCAATCATTCTCTCATCATCATTGATGTTTCCATCTCTCTTCCTCTCTGAAATCAATTTAAAAAATTAAAAAACAAAACAAAAAACACAGGACCGGCCTCCCTGCAATTTCAAGGAGGCGCCACAAGATGGCAGCGGACGTAGAACTGAAAACACCGGTGTTCCCTGCAGCCTCTCTTGACAGACGGCCTGCGAGTAGCGGAAGCGGAAGCGGCCACGTGAGACGCTTTACGGTGGCCGGGAGGCTGCCGGGTTGTGTCTGCGGGTCTTGGAAGCGCTCCCCGGAGGAGTGGGGAACCTCGTTTCTCTGATCCGGCTCCCGAGCGTGGGGCGCTACCCTGGCAGCCGTCACCATGGTGAAGGAGCAGTTCCGGGAGACCGATGTGGCCAAGAAAATGTAAGATGGAGCAAGGCTGGCCACAGGGGTAGGGAGGAGGGGCAGAGGGGCCCGAGGCCAGGGGTCCGGGACTGCAAGGGGTTGAGGTGGGGGCCAGTTGGAAGGGGCGGCTGGGAATCAGCCGAAGGGGTGGGTGGGCAGAGGTCAGAGCCCTGTGGGTCAGAGAGTCCTGACCCTGAGCGAGCACGTCTGCACCGCGGGGGCGGCAGGCCGGGCTGGTCCCGGGCTCGGGCGGAGGGGCGTGAGCCTGGGCGGTGCGCACCCCGTGGGCCGCAGCTCGAGCTGCCCCAGGCCCGGCCGTGCTCCCTGCATCCCCGCGAACGGGTCGCCTCTGCAGCGCGGGGGGCCTCTGGGCGGAGACTAACCCCCGTCTGGCTGTGGAGCGCGGGACGGGGAGCAGCAGTGCCCCAGAGGGCAGCCTTGTCGGCTAGAGGCTGCTCCCCCAGAGCTTTAAGAGGCCGCGGCCTGCTCAGAGCGCCCAGGAGAAAAATGAAAATCACTCGCCCTGGCAGCAGGCACTTAGGAGGAAGGCGCTATGTGCTCGGGCCGGCGGATGGGCCTTATAGATGGGACGGGAAACAAGACTTCACTGCCAGGGTAGTTGCGGAAGGTAGACAAGGCAGCGCCGGCTGGGGCAAGGGCAAGGCTGGGCCTAGGGGCTTCTGATTGCGCCGAATGCGAAGGGTTCAGGCAGAGAAAACCACCAAGCAGCTTTCTTCCAGAACCATAGGGAGGGTGATGAGAAGGAAGCATGGTTCCGGAGTCATCCTGCAGGCAGGGAGGGACCTCTGAAGGTTTTCACTAAGCAGGGGAGAGGCTGGATCAGAGTTCTCCTGAAAGGTCTGGTGATTCAGAGGGACAGGATAAGGGAGGACCCTGGAGGCCTGGGCAGGGGATGATGGCCTGCGCTGGGGTGGCAGAGCCATTGGAGGGAAGTGGACTCCAAAGGGTTTTGGGTCAGGATGAGGAAGAGAGGAATGAGATGGCGCAGAATTTCTTGCTCAGGCAGCCGAGTGGATGGTTGCCACTCCCCGGAATGGGAAAGTGTGTCTTGCCTGGATGAACCCTTCCAGGCTGTCTCTCCCCGTCGGCCCTGGCCTCTCACACCCACCCCAACCCCCGCCTCTATTCTGATGTATAATAACCTCTTCTCACAAAGCTACCCCAGTGACTGTTAAGATGCAAATTATATCCCTGACACTAACGCTTAAAATCTTGCTGCAGCTTCTGTTGCACTAACATTTAAATTCCCTATCATGGGAGCCCCGTGTGACCTCTCTGGCTTCATCTTATACCATTAGCTTTCTGTGCTCTGGTACCCAGCTCTCATTCAGTTCCTTGCAAATGCCAGGCTGGCCGGGTAGCTCAGTTGGTTAGAGCATCGTCCCCACACAGGTTGCAGGTTTGATACACAGTCAAGGCACATACAAGAATCAACCAATGACTGCACCAGTAAATGGGACAGCTAACCTCTGTCTTCCTCAAATCTAGAAATAAGATAAAACATCTGTAGGAAGAAAGAAAATGCCAACCTTGTGCTGGTCCTGCGTTTGCCCTATTATGCTCTATTTCAAATGCTCAGCCAACGGATCATCTTAGTGCTGGCTCCTTCTTATTCAAAATTCAGCTTGCTTAAAAGTCAATTTTACACAGAAACTTCCTGAACACACAACATAAAGTAGGCTCTTTAAACTCTACCCCTTCACGTCACATCACGTCATTTCATTCTCTGCTTTTACTCATTTTTGTGGATCAGTTTATTATCTGTCTTGCCTACCCTGGACTGTGAGCTCCATGTTGGCAGGGAACCTTGTCTGTCTGATTTAATCTGTTCTCTCAGCCCCTCACGATGGTGCCTGGCACATTGGTAAGCACCCTTCATCTCCCAATTTGGGGAGAGATGAATGAAGGAACAGATCTGAGGGAGGAGGTCTTGGGGTCTGTTTTACAAGTGTGAGGTGAGTCTGAAGTGCCTGTAGTGCATTAGGCACAGGTGTCCAGAACAGGTGTCTGTAGCCTCCAGATGAATAGAAATAGCTGTCTTACAGCTAAAGGTTAGACAGACATTAACATATACTCGAATGCCAGGATCACTCAGGAGGAATGTGTAGAATGAAAAAAGAGGATGAGGGTTATCACCCCAGGTAGGGGGAGATGCCAGTATTTAAGAGAAGTTAGTAGAAGAAGAGACCACAAAAGCATCAGCCAGAGAAGGGAAGAAAAGCTCCAAGTATATGGTGTCGCCAAAGCCATGAGGAGACAGCATTTCCAGGCACGGAGGACGTACTGCAGCGGGGTAATGCTGCCCCTGGGTAAAGGAGAGTGCTCTCACTAGGTTTAGCAACCAGCAGGTGACCTCGGAGAGCCCTACTTCCTTTGATAAAGGGGGAACAATTCCAGCAGGATGAAGGGTGCTTACCAAGGAAAAATGAGAGCGGTTTCAAAATATAATAATGGGGGCGCAGAGCCTATAGGGGTTGGGAGGATATGGTGGGTCACAGATGGAATCACCGTTTTTGGTAAGTGGTTTTGATGTAATTGCTCCCCTGTTTCTTTTCATTCCAGAAGCCACATCTGTTTTGGAATGAAGTCGCCCGAGGAGATGCGCCAGCAGGCGCACATCCAGGTTGTGAGTAAGAACCTGTACAGCCAGGACAACAACCATGCCCCCTTGCTGTACGGGGTGCTTGACCACAGGATGGTAAGACCCCCACACCTTCCGGGTTCCTTGTGTTTTGACTTGCGGGTGAAACTGGTGCCTTTATCACACTGGTAGAAACCAGGCCTCCTTCCATCCACCCTGTTCCCCTGCACACACATCCCAGGGTCTCTGCACACACATCCCAGGGCCTCCAGCCTTCGGCCAATTGGATGGGAGTACACTTTAGCTTCCCAGGTGATTCTGATTCTGTGAGGACTGGTTCCCGCTTTGCTGCCCGGCAGTCCTCATTGATGACTGGCTGTGCTTTTTATCCAAAGGGTACCAGTGAGAAGGACCGCCCTTGCGAGACCTGTGGAAAGAACTTGGCTGACTGTCTGGGCCACTACGGGTACATTGACCTGGAACTGCCTTGTTTTCACGTGGGATACTTCCGCGCCGTCATAGGCATCCTGCAGGTAAGTACATGTGTCCTCCTTTCCCAGGCACCAACTTGGGAGTTACCACTTAGAGCATTGAAGTGGTCTTAGGAGTTGTGAGAGGTGGGAGACACATCTAAGGGAAGATTTTTATACTAAACACATAATATTTTATCTTCAATAAATAAGTTGCTTAAGTATTCTCTGTTTCTTGAACTTCCTTGAGTAAGTGGTAGCGATCTTCTATAATAATAAGAGCGTAATATGCTAATTAGATTGAACAGCTGGACAGCCTTCCAAAGTCTCGGCTACCAGGGCCGAGGCAGAGGCAGCTGTTTCATCTGCGAGGGCCGAGCCCATTATACGAATTTCATGCATCGGGCCTCTAGTGCAGTGTAAAAGATGATAAAATAATAATTCAAGTCATAAAGAATGACAAAGAGATAGAAGTTAAAGATCCTACCGGCCAGCTCTGATGGCCAGTTTCCTCATGAGCTCGGGCTGCCTCTGCAGATTTTCTTGTAGGTCCCTCAGTGCATGTTCACTCAGTGTCCTGGCCAGGCGTGGGGTGCCATTTTAAAAAGAAGGCTTTTCATCCTCTCTTATCTGTTTTGTTTAATTTTTAAAAGATGATCTGCAAAACCTGCTGCCACATCATGCTGTCCCAAGAGGAGAAGAAGCAGTTTCTGGATTATCTCAAGAGGCCTGGCCTGACCTACCTCCAGAAGCGAGGGCTGAAGAAGAAAATCTCTGATAAATGCCGGAAGAAAAACATCTGCCATCACTGTGGCGCTTTCAATGGTGAGCAGAATGCAGCCCTTTCCACTCATCCTCTTCTGTGTAGCCTGTTAGCTTTATGCAGTGTTTCTAAGCCAACTTTTTCTTTCAAATTAGGCTATAGAGCCCAACAATTGGTGCACTATTTTTGTTTTGTTTTTGTTTTTATCCTTGTTCAAGGATATGCTTTGGTGTGGGTTTTTTTTTATTGATTTTTTTAGAGAGAGAAACATAGATTGGCTGCCTCCTATGACATCCCAGCCAAGAATCGAACCTGCAACCTTTTGGTGTACAAGTCAACAATCAACTGAGCTACCCGGCCAGAGTGCACATCTCATCTTTCATTGCTGAGGAATTTCAGTAACCTCAGGCCAGCCTAGCTAATAACCTTTTATGTAACCTTAGCAATAAATTCCTACAGGTACTGTAAAGAAGTGTGGTTTACTGAAGATAATTCATGAGAAATACAAGACCAACAAGAAAGTGGTAGATCCTATCGTATCGAATTTCCTTCATTCTTTTGAAACGGCCATCGAGCACAACAAAGAAGTGGAGCCCCTTCTGGGGAGGGCACAGGTGAGTCTGCTGTGCAGGCCTGCCCTCTGCCTGCCTCCCCTGCCCCACTTGCTCTCTCTGCTTCCGCTGAAGTATCTTATTTTTACCCTGCTCGGAGCTTGATTAGTTCTTAGTTCATATAGTACTATCTACACTGGATACTATATAAAACTAATGAGTTGAGTGGCTACTGAGTACCAGACTCGATGAGGTGGGGGAGCATTAGGAGCTGCCACCACTGGGTCTACTCTCAAGGATCCCACAGTGTAGATGTGTAGGTAGCCATTCATCTGTGAAACAGGCTGCAGTGCTGATTCACAAGAATGGCGAGGACGGTGAGTTCAGTGGGAAATCAGGAGGAAAATGTCACTTTGGACTTGGTTAGGGAAGACTGCAGAAAGGTGTGCTTCCGTCTGGTATAAATGCCAGTGGGCTAAGAGGTCAGGGGCAGAGAGCTCGGGCTGTGCAGCTCACAGGGTCTAGGCTCTCTTTGAAAAACCAAGGAGCGATGGAAAAGCACCTTGTGTTTAGTGACTGCTGTCACGCCCCGACACTGTTCTTTAGAGTTCTTTAGATGGATTAGCTCACACAGAAGGAGGATTACAGCTTTGAATACGCAAAAACAGTTTGTTCTTGTACAGCTATTGCTATCTACTGATGATTGTGTTGTTTTCCATACAAACAGCTGTAAGCCTGCTTTGCCCCACCTTGTACTGGTACTTAATCCTCACAATAAACTTCCGGGACAGCATTGCCCAAGAGGACAGTGTGGAGGGAGCAGGAGCTCTTGCCAAGACAGTTGGCTTGCAGGCCCATAACGGCCAACTGAGAGCACTGGGCAGAGGGCCTCCTGCTTGGGGTGGGGTGGGGGGGACCGAAAGCTTTGAGCAGGGAGGGAATGAATAAATGGTGAAGTTTCGAAACATGGCTGCTCTTGAAAAGACACCATGATGAAAGGGAAAAGGGGATTCTTTTTCGGGGTGAGGATGTGGATTGGAATAGCTTCCTTCTCCCCAACTGTATTGTCATTTCCTCCAGGATGGGATGGCAGTAAGTTTCTTTTGCGGCACTGTTCTGAGGGCAGAAGCTGTTCTGACATTTCTTCCTTAACTTTCTTCCTCTTCTCAGTAAGTTATGCAGAGCAAATTCTGCATGTAGCATATATTCACAATCACATGATCTTTGATTCCAAGAAAAATCAGTAGGCAGTAACAAGACACAAACTGATCATTCTTCCCTTTGATCTTTGACTATCTGACAATTTGCCTAGTTCTTACATTATGAGTAAGTGTTACAGCATGGCACTCATACTAAATGGAGTTAATAGAGACCAATGTAAGTTCACTACAGAAAATTTAAATGTAAAAATAGAAGCAAAATGATTAGAATTCCACTCACTGAAAGATAGCTGTTAAAACCTTGGTAAACTCTTCCATTTCCTCTTTTCTGTATACACGTACATCCTAAGTGAGATTATATTATACAAATGCCTATTTTATTTACCATTATTTTGTGAACATCTTTCATGACAATAGCTAGTGTCTTTTTATAGTGTCTTTTTTTTTTTAATTTTATAGTGTCTTTTTTTTTTTTAATGGCTTCATAATTTTCGATGTATGATTTTATCTAGCCAGTAACCTGTCAGTCAGGCTGTTTCCAACTTCACTATTAAAAACAGCTTTAGTGAACATAATTTTTATGTTAATTTTTAATCATCCCCTTTTGAATAATCATGAGGAGTGGAATTATTGATTTAAATAATTGAATAAAAGGCCTGCATATTTTTTAAAATATATTTCTTTATTGATTTCAGAGAAGAAGGGAGAGAGATAGTGACATCAATGATGAGAGAGAATCATTGATCGGCTGCCTCTTGCATGCTCTCTACTGGGGACCGAGCCTGCACCCTAGGCATGTGCCCTTGGCCGGAATCGAACCTGGGGACCCTTCAGTCCAATGGCTGACCCTTTATCCACTGAGCCAAGCCGGCTAGGGCAGGCATGCATAATTTAAGGGCTCTCACACTATAGCATATTAGCAGAAATCTGTCATCACTTACACCTAGAGTCTTAAGTGGTGAGTAGGCTAGAGAGTATGGAGAGTAAGCCCTTGCCCATGGAAATTAAAGTATCTCTTTTCTGTTCATAGGAAAACTTGAATCCCTTAGTCGTTCTGAATTTATTTAAGCAAATCCCAGCTGAAGATGTCCCTCTCCTTCTGATGAACCCGGAAGCCGGAAAGCCCTCCGATTTGATCCTCACGCGACTGTTAGTGCCTCCCTTGTGCATCAGGCCCTCCGTCGTGAGCGATTTGAAGTCTGGCACCAATGAAGACGATCTGACGATGAAATTGACAGAGATCATTTTCCTAAATGATGTCATTAAAAAGGTCAGTGCTTCCCATTGGCATTGGCAAGCCCTACATTTGAGAGTAACTCTATGCAAACACTTGTGAGCAAGAAAGTCAAGATAACGAGGCACGTTTCCGTTCCTTTTCTGCTCCTTTTTAGCATCGGATATCAGGAGCCAAGACCCAGATGATCATGGAAGACTGGGACTTCTTGCAGCTGCAGTGTGCCCTCTACATTAACAGCGAGCTCTCGGGCATCCCCCTTAACATGGCGCCCAAGAAATGGACCCGGGGTTTTGTCCAGCGCCTGAAGGGAAAACAGGGTATGCTGCCAACAACAAGCACAGGAGACAGTTTACTGCCTTCGCTTGCTTGCTTGCTTGTTTTTGAGTGCATGTTCGGATCACAGACTTTCCTTTGTCTTTCTGCCCACATTACCCCAAATGGCTCACCTTGTGCCATGGAGACCTGTGACACATTTTTGTTTATTTAGGTCGATTTAGAGGCAATCTCTCAGGAAAGAGGGTGGATTTTTCTGGCAGAACTGTCATCTCACCTGACCCCAACCTCCGGATTGATGAGGTAGCTGTGCCAGTTCATGTGGCCAAAATCCTAACTTTTCCTGAGAAAGTAAGTACCATTCAGTTGCTTGATTCTGTGTTTTGAATCCAGTCCTTTACATTATAGTTTAAGATTCCAAACAGCAGACAATGAAAAAACTCCCTCAATGCATATGTTAGTATAGGTATCTTTCTTCTTTGATTCATGTTTTATACATGCATCGCTATATGTAATATCTATAGCATGTACAAGCAGAACTGTGTATGTTCTCACAGACACATTAAATATACTGTTCTGCAACTTTTTTCCCCCAAGAACTATCATCTTTTTTTTTTTCTTTTTTTTAATATATTTTTATTGATTTTGTACAGAGAGGAAGGGAGCGAGATAGAGAGTTAGAAACATCAATGAAAGAGAGTCATCAATCAGCTGCCTCTTACACACCTCCTACTGGGGATATGCCCGCAACCAAGGTACATGCCCTTGACCGGAATCGAACCCGGGACCCTTCAGTCCCCAAGCCGACGCTCTATCCACTGAGCCAAACCGGTTTCGGTCATCTTTAACATCTTTCTATGTTGCTTCATAATTCATGTTTTATTTTTTTTATTTTTAAAAAAATATATTATTAATTTTTTACAGTGAGGAAGGAAGAGAGATAGAGAGCTAGAAACATTGATGAGAGAGAAACATCGACCAGCTGCCTCTTGCACACCTCCCACTGGGGATGTGCCCGAAACCAATGTACATGCCCTTGACCTGAATCGAACCCGGGACCTTTCAGTCCACAGACCGACGCTCTACCGCTAAGCCAAACCGGTTTCGGCCATAATTCATATTTTAAAGGAGCTAAATGATAAACACCACACATTTAATTTTCTTGGGATGGGTTTTTATCTATTTTTTAAGTGAAAGGATTTTTTATATTGATTTTTTACAGATAGGAAGAGAGAGGGATAGAGAGTTAGAAACATTGATGAGAGAGAATCATCGATCAGCTGTCTCTTGCACACCCCCTATTGGGGATGTGCCCGCAACCAAGGTACATGCCCTTGACCGAAATCGAACCTGGGACCTTTCAGTCCGCAGGCCGACGCTCTATCCACTGAGCCAAACCGGTTTCGGCGAATTTTTAAAATATATATATATATATATATATTTTTATTGATTTTGGAGAGGAAGAGAGATATAGAAACATGGATGATAAGAGGGAATCATTGATTGGCTGCCTCCTGCATGTCCCTCCCCTGGGGACTGAACCCGTAACCTAGGTAGGTATGTGCCCTTGACCAGAATCTAACCCAGACCCTTTAGTCCACAGGCTGATGCTCTATCTACTGAGCCAAACTGGCCAGAGCAGGATGGATTTTTATTTTTAAAACCTTAGAATCACTGGGTCAAGGCTTTGAGCATTTTAAGGCTATTGATGCATAACCAGAAAGGCTGAGCCGCTCTACCTCAGCGCACACTCCCCATGAGTGTAAAATACACGGTGCCCTTTTTTAACTGAGGTGCACAAGGCCTAATTACAGGAGGCTATTAATTGGCTTTGCCTTAGATTCCTAATTGGCCAGATCATAGCCGGTTCTGGTAAAACTTATGGGGAGTGTCCTCAGTTGAGTTACTGATGACCCAGAGTTGCCTGCTCAGAGATGGGTGTTCCAGGAGACTTTAGTCCAACAGGTTATAGGACACAGTGTTGCAGACCAGGTCCTCTGTGCTGGTGTCACCACTTTGAAATATTAGAAGCCCATGGTAAATCATGGCAGATGAAGTGGCCACCTGCTTTGAAGATCACAGTATGTGCTGGAATGTTCCTACAGATCAGTCCAGCCCACGCTCTTTTCTTGTGGGGATACCAAAGGCGAGGGAAGGACTTGGCTGTGTCATCCAGGGAGTGAGTGACCAAGTTCGGACTAGAACCTGGGCTCCTGTATGCCAATCCATTATCATTACACACATGACTGTGGCAGCAGGAAGTGAAGATTGAGGCACAGTTCAGTGTATTGAATAACTAGTAGAAGTGTAGGAAGTATAATTTAATAGTATCTCATTGTGGTCCTGCAGGTAAACAAAGCAAACATTAACTTTTTGAGGAAACTGGTTCAAAACGGACCTGAAGTTCACCCAGGAGCCAATTTCATTCAGCAGAGACACACGCAGATGAAAAGGTAACACTTTCCCAGTCTAGCTGGGTGTAGCTCAAGGTCACTGTTGCCATGGTTAGCCACATAATGCAGTCCTGAGTACAGTTTTGGGGGTTTTAGCATGTGGAAAATATGTGTTGAAATTGCAGTGAGTCTACGTATACCATTTGCCCCATTTGGTGATTGAATACACATGAAGTGTTCATTTGTTTCCTAGTATTTAGTGTTACTGAATCTAGGTGGACAAAGCACATTGGGATAAATGAACCTGTGTCTTACTATCAGTTTGTCATAGTTTAATTGACACCTCTGGGGGCACCTTAGAGTCAATGAAATATGATCATTTTAGAATTTGAATTCTGTTATGAAGAGGGAGAAACGTGGTGAGGAGACCTTGTTCTCACATACGTTTACTATTGTGTGTTCAGGTTTTTGAAATACGGAAATAGGGAAAAAATGGCTCAGGAGCTCAAGTACGGGGACATTGTGGAGAGACACCTCATAGACGGGGACGTGGTGCTGTTCAACCGGCAGCCCTCGCTGCACAAGCTGAGCATCATGGCGCACCTGGTGAGTGCATTTCTGGTCTGATTTTCTGTGGAGTGGAAATGTGCTGTACACAATGCTAACTTCCAGACTTCTACAATTAAAATTGCCAGTCATCTCTGATTTTCATAACCTGCTTTTCTTCAATGTTTTTAATATTTATAATGTAATATTCATACACTTAAACAGAGAGGAACTAATTGAAAATTAGTGTGGAAGTGTCTAGCATGATTTCACTTGCAAACTAAAATATATACACATATATGTGCACAAACTTATGTAAAAAATAGATATGATTTAAAAAATTGACTTTTGATTTAACTTCGCATGTTAACCAAGAAACTAAAATGCTTAAAATATTTTTTTCTTTGCAATAGTCCTCCAACTAAGACCCTAAGCCATATTTTTTTGGTGATTTCATTTTGTGACAGCAGCAGTTTCTTTTTCTGGAAATTTAAAATGGAAATGAGATGCAACTTTAATTTGTTAAATAGTCACCAGTTCTCCTATCTTCAAAGCCATTGAACCTTGAGCATTTGTTAACAGTGTTTAAACAGGCTCTGAAAGTCGGGTTTTTCTCGATTCCATTTTTCAGTAGTTTGTGAATATATTGCATCAGTCTTTACCTTAACAGTGAAATACCAAGCAGCAGTTTATGATTTATGAGAATATGATTATGGGATCTAGGGAAAACAGAAGCCCTCTTTTTCTAGAAGCTTCTGCTTAGCTTTGGAACATTTTTTGAAAAGAAATTTTTTGTTTGAATATTTTTAAATATTCAAAGAATACTATTGTGAACTCTCATATTTTTTTTAATATATTTTATTGATTTTTTTACAGAGAGGAAAGGAGAGAGATAGAGAGCTAGAAACGTTGATGAGAGAGAAACATCAACCAGCTGCCTCTTGCACACCCCCTACAGGGGATGTGCCCGCAACCAATGTACATGCCCTTGACCAGAATCAAACCCGGAACCTTTCAGTCCGCAGACCGACGCTCTACCACTGAGCCAAACCGGTTTCGGCATTAACTCTCATATTTTTATCCTCATTACTCAGTTTTCTGGATTTGGCCTCACTTGTATATCTTCCTTTTTTCTTTGATGAGCCCAGATGCCATGTCTTTTTCCATGTGTATTCAGTTTACTGGGTAAGGCACACACAGGAACCACAGTGCCGTTGTCATACCTCACACAATGAACACTCTCAGGCAGTGTCTAGTGCCCAGTTCACAGTCAGATTCCCCCGGAGCCTCAAAAGACTGGCAGCTGGTTTGTTCAGATCAGGATGCAGTCTACATGTTACATTTGGATGGTACATAGCTAAGGTCTGTTGATTTGGAACAGTCCTTTTTTAAATTGTAATGTCATTGTTGAAAAAACCATGTTATTTGTCATAGAAAGTGTCCCATGCTCTCAGTTTGTATAGGAATGGAGTTAAGTGTTTCTTAGTTCTTCTTTGTATTTCTGTAAACTGGAAATTAACTCCCAAGACTTGATCAGATGCAGGTTCAACTTTTTGACAAGATTGGCTGTGGGTGGTACGGGCTACTTCCAGGAGGCCTTATTTGAGGAGCACGTGTTATCTGGATGTCCCTCTCTTAAGCTGAAAAGTATAAGGAGTCTTCTGATGTCTTCTTAGAAAGGTTCCTCATCGACCTTTTTTCCAATAGTTTCATTCATCTATGTCATTGCCTAAATTATTTCCTCAGAGCTGCAAAGTGGTGAAATTTATCATTTATTTCACATTTAACACAAAGGATTTTTATATTAAAAAACCAGAGTTATCTGCTTGTTTAGAAACCCAATTCATAAAGGAAAAACAGCCCACATACCTAATTCTTTTTCCTTTATTGTCAGTTTGGGAAGTAAAAAGTTGGTGCTCAGTTACTTCCCATTCGGTTATTTTAGATTCTTTATTTGCTTATTTTATTTTATTTTAAATATATTTTATTTATTTTTTACAGAGAGGAAGAGAAAGGTATAGAGAGTTAGAAACATCGATGAGAGAGAATCATCGATCAGCTGCCTCTTGCACCACCCCTACTGGGGATGTGCCCGCAACCAAGGTACATGTCCTTGACCGGAATCGAACCTGGACCTTTTAGTCTGCAGGCCGATGCTCTATCCACTGAGCCAAACCGGTCTCAGCTTTATTTGCTTAGTTTAGGTTTTCCTTCCTTCATTGTCATTATAAACTCATGTGTTTATAACTACCACAAACTTTACTGATATAAAACAGTGATGTCATGGGCCGGGGGCCTCCATGTGGCTCCAGTGCTGATGTTTGCCTCCAGCAGTAAAACAAGTTCCTGACATTGGCCGTGGTGAGTGAGTCCACAGGTGACATGTGTCACCCAACAGAACACACTAGAGGTTTATTTCCTTAACCTACATTTTCTAATAACTAAGAAGCTTTGGGATCAGTGACTAAGCCCTCCTCTTGTTTTGTGTTCCACAGGCCAGGGTCAAGCCCCATCGGACCTTCAGATTTAATGAGTGTGTGTGTACACCCTACAATGCGGATTTTGATGGCGATGAGATGAACCTTCACCTTCCACAAACAGAAGAAGCGAAAGCAGAGGCCCTTGTTCTAATGGGGGTACGTAGGGTAGTGCAGCCCAGCTTACAGCTCCATGAAGATGGGAAAGGGGATCGGGCCCTGTTGGGAAACACCTTCTAGTATGTAAGTGAGTTAGTGTCTGTAATAGGAGCTTTTGGGGGGAGTTGATGTTTCCTGACCTACAATGTAGGTTCCTGAGAGAAAATGTATATGTGAGCACTATTTATGAGAAGATGAGAGAGCGTAGCAATCAGCTGTTGGGTATCATGGGAAAAGATGGTTCTGCATACATGGATATTCTAGTGGCTAAAGATTCTTTAAGCTCCAATATATTGGAACAGTCTGAATGGAAACCTTCCCAAAATGTAGCAATACTTCTTTGTCTTCTGAAGGGTACACCATAAACAGTCATTTTTGTAATGACTCCTGTCACCATTTTATTGTTAGCGGGTAGGCGTGCCCATTCAGTGCCAGGGGGGAGTCCGGTGATGAGCGAGGCTGGTGCCTGGTCCTGAGGTGTCACAGTTGGGCTCTAACTCCTGCACTGTGTGCTGTTTGCTCCTGAACCCGCCATACTGCAGTGGCCCCGGTGCCTGCTGGTCGGCTCTTCCCACCTGTTGGGTTTTTAGAACTTAGGCCTTTCTTTTTTCTAGTATTCTAGTTTTCTGTATTATGAACGGATGTATTTTGTAGTTTTAAGTGTTCCTTCCTCCAAAAATACTATTTCTGATATACTTCTAATCTATTTTGGTTTAGGGTGATTCTGAGATAAAGGCGATTAGGTTCTGCAAGCAGATCTATTAAATGTTAAAGTCCATGTGGTTTTGGTGGGATAGGAAGCAGGGAGAGACGAGAGGTAGGAACATCGATGAGAGAAAAACATCTATTGGCTGCCTCCTGCATGCCTCCTATTAGGGATCAAACCTGCAAAGCCAGGCATGTGCCCTGACTGGGAATCAATCCAGCTCAACCACTCAGCAACTCTAGCTGGGTGACATATCTTTTCTGATAAATGAAATATTTAATTTATCATGTATTATTTATACATGTTTAAATTATCCTTTGGAGAATTCAATAATTCTGAGAAATTTATGTGCTAAAATAGGCTGAAGTATTCGACTTTTTTGAAACATTGATTCTTATTATTCAAACATTCTAGCAAAGTAATGGAAATTATTTAAATAAGGTACAATTTCTACACATCACAGCTTTCTTTATTTCCACCTCTATCGGTTTGTTCCTTATCCATGAATATAGATGGTTGTTGTCATGGTTAAATGGGCTTTGTTTTCCTTTTTTCTGCTTAACGTATTATAAATACCAACTTGCTGTAGAGTCCTGGTGATTGATCATAATGGCTTTGCAGCATTTCACCATCTTAGCACACCATGATTCATCTTCCCTCTGGTGTTGAAATTTAGGGTGCTTTTCTTGTTTTGTTTTTAGAATTAGTCCCTCAAGGGCCATCTTTGTGCATTGAGAGTCTTCTTTTGAATTATTTCTCTGGACTTCTTGGCCTATTAAAAAGGTTCAGTAGATGTTGATGCGTATTACTGTGTGCCAAGCACTCTTGGAACATAGCAGTGAGTGGGGAAGTCAAGTTCTTCCTTTTCTTCCTATTCAAATGGGGAGAGAGAATCCTATCTAATAAAGATGGAATATGCAAATTGCTATAACTCCGTGGCGAAGATGATGGCACCCATAGCCAATAAGGAGGGAATATGCAAATTGATACAACAAGGCTAGAGGCTGAAGGCAGCTCTTGGCTGGAGCAAAGGCAGAAAAGTGGATCCAGTCTGGAGCGAAGGCAGTGCGGGCAGCCAGGGGAAGGAAGGCCTATTCTTGTGCGAATCTTTGTGCATCAGGCCTCTAGTAACAAATACAAAATGTCAGGTTTGTTTATAAGTGCTAGGAAGAAAAGGATCAGGCAGGGTAAGGATGAAAGCATGAAGGGGGTCCTGTTTTAGGATAGTCTGGGAGGTCCACGAGAACAGTAACATATGAACCAGGTTTTGAAAGAAGTTGGTGGATGATCAGTGAGTCTGTCAGGGAAAGAGTAATTCAAGCAGAAGAGCAGCAGCTGCAAAGGCCCTGTGGTACAATTTCACTTGGGGAAGCAAGAATGTAGCCTGTTTTCTCCTGTGCCTCGGTGTCTGTAGCAGTGGTGATGAGTGCTGTTTGGGAATTGGTGGTTGATACAGAGGACAAGATGGTTGATGAGTATGTTGTTGGTGGAGGATGGATAGCCATGAATGAGTTCTTGTTTTGCGCTCCTATAGTCAAAGGGTGAATAGGTCAGTGCAGTCATTCTTCCTGACTGGCACTCTCATTTCTAGGAAGCTCTCCAGAGGAAGTAATTAGACTTGCAAAATTATTTGCAATCACAGAACACAAGCAATGCTCAGAAGAAGAAAAGTTGATTTTATTAAATTATGTCACATCCACACAACAAAACCCTTTGTGTTCTCTTAAAAATGACATAGTTGTATATGTAGTTGTTTGATAAGTAGTTGCCTATATGTTTGTAAAAATGTTTATAGCAAAAAGTTGGAAGGGTTATAATCAAAGACTTAAAACAGTAGTTGTTTTTGCTTGGCAGTATGACACTGATTTTTTTATGGCCTATATTTTTAGATTTTTAAATAATGGATATATCTTATTTTTGTAATTAAAAAGTAATATTTAGAATGTTACTAGTGATAATAGTATCAACCTGCAGCCAAACAGACTTTGCTATTGACTTTGCTATTATAGATCCTTCTTGTTAGACATTTTGTTATAACAACATATTTCATTGGTTAAAAATGAAAACACTAAAATGCAGACTTCAAGGATATTGGGTGGAAGAATCCATAGTTACTATTTGGACAAATCCCTCAGTTTCTGTGAGAAAGTTGCCTATTGCAGTGTCGCCAATCTTTCGGACCTCATGGACCACCAGTGGTCCGTAGACTGCCAGATGGCGACTGCTGATCTCCTGCACTGATTCAGCAGTCCTGTCCCCGTGGAGCAGGTGGAGCTCGAGCTTAAATGTGGCCCAAATTGCCCAGGAAACTTCTCTAAAATTTGCACGTATGGGCTTGCGCACCCTGCTCCCACCCAGACCACTTGCTGTCCACCCCAGAGAAATTCTCTTAACCAGCAGTGAGCAGCCGTCTCCTGCCCAGGTGCGGTCACTGCGCTGGGTAGTGGTTCAGAAGAAGGCAGACCAAGGTCTCTGCCTTGGAGGGCCTTTCACTGTGGGTGAGGAGGCCCAGAATACCCAAGTGTGCAGCGCACTCTGACACAGAACCTTCTGTAAACCTGCCCACGTGTTGGACAACAGCTCCCTTTTCTGCCCACTGTGACACACATTGAATTTTAGTTAAAGCTTGTTAAATTGTTTGTTGTTAGAATTTTTTTTTAAAGTATATTTTATTGATTTTGTACAGAGAGGAAGGGAGAGAGAGAGTTGGAAACATCGATGAGAGAGAGTCATCGATCAGCTGCCTCTTGCATACCCCCTACTGGGGATGTGCCCGCAACCAAGATACATGCCCTTGACCGGAATTGAACCCGGGACCTTTCAGTCCCCAAGCCGACGCTCTATCCATTGAGCCAAACCGGTTTTGGCTGTTGTTAGAATTTTTTTTTTTTTTTTAAATATATTTTATTGATTTTATACAGAGAGGAAGGGAGAGAGATAGAGAGCTGGAAACATCGATGAGAGAGAGTCATCGATCAGCTGCCTCTTGCACACCCCCTACTGGGGATATGCCCGCAACTAAGGTACATGCCTTTGACCGGAATCGAACCCGGGACCTTTCAGTCCCCAAGCCGACGCTCTATCCATTGAGCCAAACCGGTCCCGGCTGTTGTTAGAATTTTTTGTCTCAAGAGAAATTGAACAGTTCTGCCATCATTGTGAAGAAGTGTGAAATTTATTCACTTCAAAGATGACACAGTACTACTCATTTGTAGAAGTGAATTTCTTTGGAGAAGCGCATGTATTAAAAACAATAAAGTCTTGGATGGTAGAGTTCTTTATAGAAATCCGAAACCACTTAACTCGGTGTTTTACCTTAGTGCTGATGGGAACCTCTGAGGTCTGTCTAGCTGGTATTTCTTTTCTCTGCTCGACAGATGAGGAACTGGAAATTGGTGACATAGCTGGGATTAAGGCCTCTGGCTTGATTTCTCAGCCTTGGCATGCAGACCTTTGGACTGCATCATGCCTCCAAGGATAGCTAACTTACTGTATCCATTTTTCCTTCAGACTAAAGCAAATCTTGTAACTCCAAGGAACGGGGAACCACTAATTGCTGCTATTCAGGACTTTCTAACAGGTGGGTTTGTGAAATTCACTTAAAAGGAGGCTGTGGAATAGTGGTTCTTATTCACAATGGTTTTATATGAGAACTTGCAAAGCTATTTAATTGCCTGTGTTTAATTCTGTTGTGTGTTTACTAAGTTTAACTGTGAATCTGTTGGAAATGTTTTGTAATGGTTGATTATTTATTGAATCAACAAGTATTTGTTGAGCTCCTGTGTAGACCAAACATGTTTCTCAGCCCTGGGGATACAGCAGTGAGCAAATCAAACTGCTTTTACTCACGGAGCCTAAATTCTAGCTGGAGCGGAGAGCCAGTAAGCAGCTGTATGGTTTGTCACTTTTTTAATAATAGTCCACATTTATTTATTTATTTTTAATATATTTTTATTGATTTCAGAGAGGAAGGGAGAGGGAGAAAGATAAAAACATCAATAGGAGATGCTGGTAGGAACCTCAATTTTATTTATTTTTTAATATATTTTATTGAATTTTTTACAGAGAGGAAGAGAGAAAGAGATAGAGAGTCAGAAACATTCATGAGAGAGAAACATCTATGAGCTGCCTCCTGCACACCCCCCCACTGGGGATGTGCTTGCAACCAAGGTCCATGTCCTTGACCAGAATCAAACCCAGGACCCTTCAATCTGCAGGTCAACACTCTATCTACTGAGCCAAACCCATTTCGGCAGGAACTTCAATTTTAAAATTGAAATATGATTTTCTCACAGTTTCATTCATTTATGTGTGTGTGTTTAATATTTTTAGGTGCCTATCTCCTTACTCTTAAGGACACTTTCTTTGACCGAGCCAAGGCATGCCAAATTATCGCTTCAATACTGGTGGGCAAGGATGAGAAAATTAAAGTTCGTCTCCCGCCTCCTACAATATTAAAGGTTTGTGCAGGAGCTGTGTGTGTATGTACACAGGTGTGTGTGTGTGTGTGTATCCATCCCCATATGCCCGTATAGATTTACCTGAGCCAGTGCTGAATTTGCATGTGATCGCTGTAGTCTTGTCTTATTTACATGAAAGGTGGTCGAGACCAGGCTTGGCCAGTTGATGCTCTGCCTTCCTTTCTTCTTCAGCCTGTCACTCTGTGGACAGGAAAGCAGATCTTCAGTATCATCCTCAGACCTAGTGATGACAATCCAGTGAGGGCCAACCTTCGAACCAAGGGCAAGCAGTACTGTGGCAAAGGAGAAGACCTCTGTGTCAATGATTCCTGTGAGTTAAAGCACACGGGGGAGGGGGAGTCAGAAAAGCAAATTCAGTGTTTCTCTAAGGTCTTAGCCTGAGACAGGAAATTTGTTCTTCAGGGAAAGGTAGCTGATGATTCTCCTCTCAGATATGATTTCCTTGTTTTGTTTTGTTTTGTTTTGTTTTTTAATATATTTTTATTGATTTCAGAGAGGAAGGGAAAGGGGAAGAGAGATAGAAACATCAATGATGATAGAGAATCATTGATTGGCTGCTTCCTGCACGCCCCCCACTGGAGATCGAGCCTGCATCCGTGGCATGTGCCTACTGGGAATTGGACCGTGACCTCCTGGTTTATAGGTCAATGCTCCACCACTGAGCCTGAGCCACGCTGGCCCGGCTCAGATGTGATTTTTTATTTCTCTAAGGTAGAGATCTTACAGACACATGGGCCAGTGATTAGAATGTTTTTCTACACATGTATTTTTGTCTTAGGTGACTGGTTTCTGTCTTTTTTTTTTTTTTTTTTTTGTCTTAATTTAATTTATTGAGGTGATATTGGTTTAGTTTCTTTCTTTTAAAACAATTTCTTTTATTCTGCCTCTTTTGTTTTTCGGGGTTATTTTTTGTTGTTTTTTTTTTTCATCAACCAGAGTCTCATTACTTAAGGCATATAATTTCTTATTTTATGTTAAAAAAAAATGTGTTCATTGACTAAAGTATGACTTAAATGTATAACAAAATATATGAAGTTTTTTTCCCTGCCTCACCTGGTTAGTAAATTTTTTGATAACGTGAAGATCAGGTGTAACAGTGAGATTTATTTACTAGTAAGTGCAAGCCAGCTGAGACATGTAGAGGAATGCAGCTGTTTGGTCTACAGACCAGTGCCATCAAGCCAGCATTTCCTTTCTGGCATGAGCTCCTTAGTTTATCTTAGGCTGCTTACAGGAATGGGCTTTGCTAGCAAGGCCTTGTGACAGGAAATGGATCTATAGGACTCTGTGGAGTCCCTCTGAAGGTCAAGGTTTCTACTGTCTTGTAATGGAGGTGAAATGTTTTTTAGAGCATTGATTTTTCTCAGACTTACAGTCATTACTTTGAAAATATACTCCCAGGATTTTTAAATATTTTGGCTTGTTGTTTTATTTTTGGTTTTTATTATTTTTAAAGCATCATGATATCTATTTATTTATTTATTTATTTATTTATTTTAATCCTCACCCGAAGATATTTTTCCATTGATTTTTATTTATTTGTTTGTTTGTTTATTTATTTATTTTTATTTTTAGAGAGTAGAATGGAGGCAGAGAGACACACACACAGAGAAATGATGTTAGAGAGACACATTGATTGGTTGCCCTACCCTGACTAGGGCTGGGGATCGAGCCTGCCATTTTAATGCAATTTTTTTTATTTTGCCTCTTGTTTTTTGGGTATGTACCATTGACCAGAATCAAGCCCAGGACCCTTCAGTCTGTGGGCCAACTCTCTATCCACTGAGCAAAACCAGCTAAGGCTAGCTTGATGTTTTAGATTGTGTTTTGTTTTGTTTTTTTGTGTGTTTTTTTCTAGATAAGAATTTCACTTCTTTTGGTTGCATAAGCTCTTCATGATGGTGCCCCTGTTGGTTTCCAAAATCTTAGCCAAATAACACAGCACTTTACACTTTGGTTACAAAGCATTATGCTATACACAATGTCATTGATGCCCCTATGACATAGAGATGGCAAGTATTTGCTACTGCCTTTCACAGTTCACAGATGAAGAGAATGAGGGTCAATTAGTACATTTCAGAGTTAAGACTGTAAGGGCCTTTAATGCTTTTTAAAAGACACTAGATTTCTCTTTTTGAGGAGAATTTCTATTTGCTCTGCTTTAACTTTAAATATGGGAACAAGTTTTCTAAACTGCCTTCGATGCTTTTTGGAATGAAGAAAGATATGTTAACTGTCTGTTACATGCATAGTCACTGTCACCCTTGCAGACGTCACTATCCAGAACAGTGAGCTGATGAGTGGCAGCATGGACAAAGGAACACTGGGATCAGGATCCAAGAACAATATTTTTTACATTTTGCTGCGAGACTGGGGACAGAATGAAGCTGCCGATGCCATGTCAAGGCTTGCCAGGCTGGCTCCTGTCTACCTCTGTGAGTATCTCAGCATCCTGTTTTATGCTGTATTTGCTGGGCTTTCGGGGTTTCTTCTGCTACTGTTTCTCACCCACACACATAGACACACAGAGAAAAGCATATCTATTCCAAGCTAAACATTACGCTTTCCTCAGTGAAATGAATGTGATACTGACTCACGGGCGGCATATTTGCATTCCTTTTCAGTCTCTTCTCTAATCTATAGGGCTTCCTGTTGCTACCAGATAGGGTTGGGTTACATAAAGGGCCTGTGTGGGCTGCTTCCAAGGTTTCTATGCACTCACCGTACCCTCTGGGCCTTCCATGATTCAGCCCTACCAGATTTCTTCCCTACTACCCTGGCACTGTTCTATTTTCTGTGTTTGCTCATGTTTTGAGCATGCCATGAGTCAAGAGATCTTTACTGCCCCCAAACATCTTTAGTCTACTCACTTGATTGATTCTTTGGCTGGGTATAGAATTGAAAATTGAAAATTATTTTACCTCAGAATTCTGAGGATAGTACTTTATTTTATTCTATTCTAGCTGCCAGAGTTGCTATTAAAGTGTATTTCTTTTTTTTTTTTTTTTAAATCAATCTTTATTGTTCATATTATTACAAAGGTTCCTCATTTCTTCCCCCCTCCAACAGGTTCCCACCCTACCCTCCATCTCCCCCCCATCCCCCATTGTCCTCATCCATAGGTGCAGTTTATGTTCAGTCTCTTCTTCCCTCAATTTCCCCAATAGTAAATCCCTTTTCAGATAGTAAATCAGTTACTTAGCATTTTCTCATATCAATAATACCTCCACATGCCCAATGATACACTTCACACAAAAGACATTTCCCACTAGGTCAACCAGCCTCATCCAGGCCCCACCCAAGGCACTCACAGATCAACACCCCAGTCCTAAACTAACTCAACACATCCAGATCTCAGCCTTCATCACTTGATTCAGCAGACCCTCAAGTTCCCACGAAGGTTTCCAGCCATGTCTGAGAAGCAGCCGTGGGGCAGGGGCCGGCAAGGAGCAAGCTGTTCTGGGCCTGGCTGCTCAGGGCCTGGCCTCTGTTGCTCTGGTTCATTCCACAACCAGCTGCTCCGGGTCTGGTCACTGCCGCTCCCGACCTAGTTGCTCTGGACTTGGCTGCTGCTGCTCCGGGCCTGGCCGCCCCCAGCCTGGCCGCCGCTGCTCCGGGCCTGGCCGCACCCGACCCGCCTGCTCCCCCGGGCCTGGCCGCTCCCAGCCTGGCAGCCGCTGCTCCGGACCTGGCCGCACCCGACCCGCCTGCTCCCCCGGGCCTGGCTGCTCCCAGCCTGGCAGCCGCTGCTCCGGACCTGGCCGCACCCGACCCGCCTGCTCCCCCGGGCCTGGCCGCTCCCAGCCTGGCAGCCGCTGCTCCGGGCCTGGCCGCACCAGCCCCGCCTGCTCCCCCGGGCCTGGCCGCTCCCAGCCTGGCAGCCGCTGCTCCGGGCCTGGCCGCACCAGCCCCGCCTGCTCCCCCGGGCCTGGCCGCTCCCAGCCTGGCAGCCGCTGCTCCGGGCCTGGCCGCACCAGCCCCGCCTGCTCCCCCGGGCCTGGCCGCTCCCAGCCTGGCAGCCGCTGCTCCGGGCCTGGCCGCACCCGACCCGCCTGCTCCCCCGGGCCTGGCCGCTCCCAGCCTGGCAGCCGCTGCTCCGGGCCTGGCCGCACCTGACCCGGCTGCTCTGGGCCCGGCTGCCCCGGGCCCGGCCGCTCCGAGCCTGGCCACTCCCGACCTGGATGCTCTGGGCTTGGCTACTGCTGTTCTGGGTCTGGCTGCTCCCACCCCGGCTGCTCTGGGCCCGGCTTCTTCGGGCCCGGCCACTCCGGGTCTGGGTGTTCCTGGACTGGCCACCCTGGGCTTGGCCGCCTCCGCCTCATGCCTGGCTGCCACTGCCCCAGGTCTGGCTACTCCAGTGCTGGCTGTTGATGCTCTGGTTCTGGCTGCTGTTGTTCTGGGGCCTGGCCGTTGCTGCTCTGGGTCTGGCTGCCACTGCCTTGTGCCTGGCCACTCTAGGCCTGGCCGTCGCTGTTCCAACATTCTGTCCTTTTTTTTTTCTTTTTAAAACGCATTTATGTTGCAATGTTTGCTGGTGAGTTGAGTTCTGACTTAGTCTTTGATTTTTCAAGATCTTCTTTGTATTCTTTCTTAAGTAATTTTACTATTTTTTGCTCTCACTTGATTTCTTCACATTGAGAACTTCTTTGGTTTCTTCCTTCTTGTCCTAGGAGCTCAGCAGGTTGGCCTGTGGCACCCCTTTGTTCTCCACGGGCTCCTGTACTGCTTCAGCCTGTTGCTGGGACGGCGCAGCCCAGGAAGCAGCCCCAGTCCTTGGCTCCATTGCCGGAGCTCAGTGGTCAAAGGCTCAGGGGCACCCACGCCCCCAGGGGCCCCGTGGCCCGCCTCCTTGCTGGTGCCCGGTTGGCTGGAGTCCGGCAGGGGCTTCTGCTCCCCTCCGCGTTCCCCCAGCCTAGAGCTTTTTTTTTCTCCTTCCCGCTAGGGAAGTGCAGCATCAGTGTCAACAGACTGTCCTCTGCGCACAGTTTGCGCGAGTCCCACAGACTGTCCTCTGCGCGCAGTTTGCGCGAGTCCCACAGACTGTCCTCTGCGCGCAGTTTGCGCGAGTCCCGGGGGCCCGGCCTTTCGCTGCTCTCCTCGGACTCCACCTCACAGCCCCGTCTCCCTCTGCCTGAGCCTGGGTCCCCGGAGATTAGCCCAGAACTGGGGTTCGGAGCAGTCCGGACTGAGGCTCAGCGCCGCCAGAGGCCTTGTTTCTTCCGGCTAGGGCAACCCAGCATCAGAGTCAACATTCAGTCCTCTGCGCGCATTGCGCGCGACTCCCGGGGCCCTGCCTTTCGCCGTTTTTTCCGCCTCACGGCCCTGTCTCCTCCCGCCGGAGCCTGGGTCCCCAGGGTCTGGCCCATAACGGGCTCAGCGCTGCCGGTTCGGGGGAGGGTTCAGCACTACCGGTTCGGGGGTTCAGCCCAGGCTGGGGGTTTTATTTCCTTTCTGCTAGGGAAGGAAAGGCGGCTCCCCGCCCTCTCCTCCTCTCTGGCTGCGACCTCTCCGTGCGCGCATGTCTCCGTACCTTAGGCTTTTTTTCAGCTCCTCTGATTTTCTTTCTGGTTTTCTCTTTCCTTCTTGTTGTAGAAATTTCAGTCAGTCGACTACCTGTAGCTCTGGGCAATGTCCACTCTACATTTTAGTTGTATTCCACTGAAATTGTTGTGTGCTGCCGCGGCTAGATGTCTACCTGAGCAGCCATCTTGGATCCTCTCTCTATTTCTATTTTTATACCCAAATTTTTGTATTGAATTGTCTTTTTATTCTGGAAACATTAAGAATCCTCTCTTTGATTTTGGTATTCTAAAAGTTCACAATGATACATACATCTTTGGTGGTATGGGTATTTTACCATTCATTGTTGCTGAGCACTCTATAAACTCTTATTTTACAATTATTTGACTTCAGTTCTGGAAATTTTCTTCTATTATTTTTCTGATGATATTCTCTCCTTTACTTCCTTCTTTCTTTTTGGCATTTCTATTAATTATCTACTAAAGCTCCTGGATTGACTCTCTCTCTGATTTAATCTTCTTTTCCTTGTTTATTTTTTTGTTTTCATATTATCTTTTAACACTTCTATTGATTTAAACATACTTCTCACTATCATTTTTAATTTCCAACCATTGTTTTTATCCTCTTTTTTTATATGTTTTTATTTATTTATTTATTTATTTATTTTAATTTAGAGAGAGAGAGAGAGGGATAGAGGGATAGGAACCTTGATGAAAGAGAAACATCATTGATCAGCTGCCTCCTGCATGCATCCTACTGGGAACCAAGCCCATAATCCTGGCATGTGCCCTGACCAAGAACTGAACCGGTGACCTCTTGATTCCTGGGTTGATGCTCAACCACTGAGCTACACTGGCTGGGCTTTTTTTTTTTTCTTAAAGCTTCCTATTCTTTTTTTTTTTTAATCCTCACTTGAGGATATTTTTTCATTGCTTTTTAGAGAAAGAGGAAGGGAGAGAGAGAGATAGAAAGAAACACTGATGTGAGAGAGGCACATCAATTGGTTGCCTCTGGCATGTCCCCAGCCAGGGCAAGGAGACTGCAACCGAGATACAGGCCCTTGACCAGACTCAAACCTGGGACCCTTCAGTCCACAGGCTGATGTTCTATCCATTGAGCCAAAGAGATAGGGCAAGGCTTCCTATTCTTACTACCCAGATATACCCTCTCTATCACTGTGAGAGAATATTACTCAGTTTTATTTTATTTGCTCTCTGAATATTCTTTTAGTTTCTTTTTTCTGTGTGTTTGTTGCCTTCTGTCTTCCATGGTAATGAGTTTCCTCAAATATCTGATTCTCTGGCTGTCGTTTATATTTTATGAGTGAGGCACAAAAACACTGATTGGAAATGGAGTTGATTGGCTGATAGATATCTCAGTTTATTAATTGAGCTGGAAACAAGCTTTTTGATTGAGGAACCACCCAATATCCCTATTAGTAATGTTTTCTCCAGAGAGACTTGGTTTCTCCAGAGACATCTTTCTATCTCAACCTCCTTCCCTAGGATGGAGACCAGGCTGCTGGGATTCTGGGAGCTGGACAGGGAAAGGGGCTTAGGAACCTTCGCCATGGACTATGAAGACCTTCCCTCAGTGCCTGATTGTAGCCATCCCCATCTGTCTGCACCCAGTATCCCCAATCCAGACTCTCTCTACTTGCATTTGTTTGGGTAGTAAACTCCCATCTTCCACAGGAGTAAGGCCCTGGGCCTGCTTTTTGTGTAGATTTTACACTGGGTTTCTCTGTTTCCAACACATACACCAGCTCTAACATCTGCAGAGCCTGGTGATCTAGCTTCTGAGCCTTTCCATTGGTCCTCATTTCCATAGCATTTGTAGTCATCTTACTCCCAACCTCCCATCTGCTCATTTCCTACATATATTGGGATTAGGATTATTGATGGCACATGGTTCCAGCAAGGTGGAGTTTATATTTTTTCTTGCTCTCTGTGTTTTGGGATGATTCCTGGAAAGAGAAACCAGAATTGGGAGGTGTGGGGCAGAATCTAAGTCCCTGTGATGCTGCTGGAGAACCAGAAGTCAGATGTTCCATTGGTAGGTGGGACATAGCGTACTCCCACTAAATTGTAATCTCTGAAAGAAGTGAGTCTTAGTTTGGATTGTGTTTCTAGGGACTGATACAGTTTTTTGCTTGTTTGATACAGTAATTTGTAATGTAATTTAATTATGACAGATCCTCTGAAGGTATAAACTTGTTTCCACATAGTAGTTTGATTGACATCCATGACTCAATCTTCTTTACCTGTCAACTATTCCACAGCAAACCGTGGGTTCTCAATTGGGATTGGTGACGTCACACCTGGTCAAGGGCTGCTAAAAGCCAAGTATGAGTTGCTGAATGCTGGCTACAAAAAATGTGACGAGTACATCGAAGCCCTAAACACGGGCAAGCTGCAGCAGCAGCCTGGCTGCACCGCGGAGGAGACGCTGGAGGTGAGTCTGGCTCTTCGGGCAGTCATTTCTGCCACGTGCTCCTGGGAGGAGCTGTCAGCCACAGAGAGAAGGTAGCAGCGGGGAGAGGGAAGCAGAGGCAGTGGCTTCAGCCTCGTCTTGGTCCTGTGCTGCTTGTGTGTGTTTAATGAGGGGAGGGCCTTCAGTCAGGTCCCTTACGTCCCTCTCAGCTGTCACATTCTAGGTGGTGAAGACACAGCCCTATCTGTTCATTTGGCCACACGGGGCTCTTGTGTTCAGACATCACACTTGGCCCTTCTGGAGCTGGTAAAGTGCTTCTGCCATGTCTGTTTCCCACACCCTTCGCCTACAGGCTGGCACTGCCACTGTTTAAATGGATGGTCTTTGAAAGAGACTTGGGTACAGAAGATGGAAAATTCATGTCAAGAGTCATGTACCAGAGTGCCGCCCCTCTGCCCCCTTTTGGAACTAGGTTAGCTGAGAACAAGACCAGCACACATCCGAGTCAGAATCACAACCATCCTTTGAGAGCCTTGCGAGTTCTCTGAAGCAGCCCGGTCAGCAGTCTGTCTGCACCGGGTTTGCCTGGTTCTCCAGAGGAAGGGCTCTGTAAGCAGTTAGAAGTTTTCTGATCAAGTGAATTTTTAAAGCAGGTTGTGTGAGGATATCACCCTTTCTAGCTCAGTCTTAATCTCTTAAGTTTGAAAGAGGGCCAGGGGGAGAAATGGGAGGTTCTCATCTAGCAGTGTTTCCCAAAGTGTGGTATGCGTACCCCCAGGGGTACAGGAAGAGTTTGGTGAGGATACGCGTTGCACCGGAGTTTGGTGGGGATATGCACTGCACTGTGCCTAGCTTTGCCTAATTCTACGTTCTCATGAGTACAAGGGTTACTCAGCGTTACAAAAATTATAGAAGGGGTACACATATGTCAAAAGTTTGGGAAACACTGATCTAGAGAATTACTTGAGGCCGCAGCAGTACTCACTTTTACTGGAACCATGGCCCTGAGTGACTAAGCCTCCTGAGTTGGGGGTTGAGGAAGGACAGAGTGGATGAGCTGGAGGACTGGAGCATTCCAGGGGAGTCACCTCATCGCACGCTTCACTGTGGGAGTTCAAATGTGTTCCTGGCAAGAAAAACTAGACACATTTTATAAATAGTCCAGGCATTGTCTTCCCCTGTGCATATTTACTCAGGCATGTGTGTGCACACAGCCACACGCATTCTCCTTACTATCATTGAAAGGGTTGCTCGGGGTTTTGTTACTAAGCCTCTTTACCTCACACACTGATTTGGAATCTTGTGGAAGATGTTGATCTGTACATAAAGGGCATCCTGGTCTTCCAAGGCTCTGAAACCTCTATCTTTTGGAAATCTGACATCTTAAATATTTTCACATTTCCTTAAATTGTACATTTGTGACCAGCAGAGCCAGTGAGGGTGTCCACACCTCCCTCTCTCCCACCAGGCTCTGATCCTGAAGGAGCTGTCGGTGATCCGAGACCATGCGGGCAGCGCCTGCCTCCGGGAGCTGGACAAGAGCAACAGCCCCCTCACCATGGCTCTGTGCGGCTCCAAAGGTGCGTGCTCTGACCGCCGCGATCAGCGTATTGTCCGTATGGAGTGGCCGTATTCTCCATATGAACTGGCTGGTTCTGTTCTGGAAAATGTAGGAATCATAACTTCAAATAGACCTTTTGTTTATAAAGGCATATCTCTTTAAATCAGGTTCACTCATATGTTGTTTTTAAAAAAAAAAAAAAAAAACTGTATTTTGATTCAATGGATAGGAATCTGCGTATGTAAGGGCTGACTTAAGTTACATATGGATTTTTGACTGCAGGCAGCTGATGCCCATCACCCTCACATTATTCAAGGGTCAGCTGTATATAGAAAAAGAACTATTTACACTTTGGGGAGTTCATCATTCTAGAGAAACTTCTTGGTAATGTGTGTAGGGAGAGCCTTTGGTCAGGCCCCTTACATCCCTCTCAGCTGTCACATTCTAGGTGGTGAAGAAACAGCCCTATTATTCATTTGGCCACACGGGGATGCTAAGTTTGAGGGTGTTTTGAGCAACTTTAAAACAACTTTTAAAAAGCTAGGGGTTTAAAAAATAATATATTGTATTTAGTGATGAAGCAAAACGGTTTTAATTTCACACTTACCCAGGATCTTAAAACATTAGGTTTCATGGTGCTGTGCTCAAATTCAAAACCTCTATGCTTCCCCTATTTCTGAAAATTTTTTACAGATAAAGTTCAAATTCTTTAACTTTACTGCCTTTAACCCCAATATTCTACTTTTTTGCTTCTTGCACATGCCTCACCCTTTCCCTGAAGAGTCTTGCCTCCAACCCTGACATGCTTGCTGGTGCTTGCTGTGCTGCTCCGAGCACCTCTAGCCCTCACCTCGCCGCTTTCCCTGTTACCGAGCTCTCCTTACTGTGGGGAGGGGGCAGGGCTGCATTACAAGCTGTTTTATTCCAGGATCTGCTCGCACTTCAGTTAGTGTTATTTCAGTAAATGATGTTATATTCCTGACCTGCTTCCCTAGGTTCCTTCATTAACATATCACAGATGATTGCCTGTGTGGGACAGCAAGCCATCAGTGGCTCCCGAGTGCCAGATGGCTTTGAAAACAGGTCCTTGCCTCACTTTGAAAAACACTCAAAGGTAAGCAGTGGAGGATCAGGCAGAACTTAAGGACAGCCATCCACAGTGCAGAAGAGAGTAGCTGAGCTCTGCAGCTGCCAACCACATACAAGGGCTGGCACTGCTCAGGGTCGTTATTGCCTCTTCAATCCAACCAGGTCTCATAGAAGGAGCCTGGTAACGCTTGGACAATGCCCCCTTTGAAGTTCCTCTCCGAGAAGGAGGATTTCAGGTTCCCATCCAACTTAAGCCATCAGAATGAATATTTATATATATGTTCAATCTGTTTGCTTATTTGGGGGAGATTTGCATAAAAGTTAAGGATTTTTAAATAGTTTAAACCACACGTAAGCCAAACAAGAAATTTTAGGTTCTCCCTCTGGAATTCTCAAACTCAGCTTTTTAATATCTTCTGAATTCTATTAGCCTTGTGGTTTGGGCGCTAATGTAAGCAGAGAGAGGCAAACCTGTGCTGAGGTTGTTCTGGGACTCAGGGCAGACAACTGTTAAACCTGTAGTTACAGAACTTAAAGTAGATTTGGGCCCTCAGTGAATTCTGGGTGTGGTGTCCAACAGCTCCTGCCACTTGGAACTGCAGTATTTCTGTTCATCCCCTCCTAGGCAGACAGCACTGCTGTCCTGAGATGTATGGAGTCTGGGTATGAGGTAGCTCCAGGAACAATGCACGTCCTCTGCTCCTGGTCAGAATTCCCAGCAGTCAGGCAGATAAGTGGTCGCTGGAATGGTACCTGCCTGTGTGTCGGGCTCAGAGTTGTAGAGCAGCTGACTAGTTTGGAGGAGAGGCCAGGGGCATCCAGACTTCTCAGTCCCTGGGCCAGTGCTAGATTAGACTTGGGGAAGTCTGCTTGCATAGAGAGGTCTCTGAGTCCACAGGTTGCCCCTTAAACACAGTAAGGAAGCAGGAGGTTGGTCTGTTCTTCTCAGTTGTCCTCTAAGGAGCATAGACTATCCAGACCAAAGGCTATTTGGCCATTTCACATGGTGCTTTACATATGTGCATATTGTTAACAGTGTCACTGAAATACATTGTATATGTCATAGTCACCCATTCAAAGTGTACAGTTCAGTGACTGAATGTACAGTTAGTAAGTATATTCACATGATGGTGTGATCATCCCCATCATCTAATTTTAGAACATTTCCCGCACCCCAAGTGAACCCCATAAACAGTAGCAGCCCATGGCTATGTTCTGGAGGTGGATAGGCCTGACCCAGGAAGGATGTCTTTATGGGAGTCACTACTTCCCAGGAAACGGGCCGGCTGCTGCAGTCAGTGAGTGCCCTCCGAAGTCCTTGGCTGCCCTTCTGCTCTAGGGATGGCAGCCCAGGCTTTGGTTTTCTCTCCTGAGCCACTTGCCTGCCACTGGCACCAGCACCGGCCCTGGCGGGGACCTCACCTTCCTTGTCTCTGGGAAGAATGGGTTGTGCCAAATTATTTCTCATTTAGGGGAGAGTATACAAAGCCCGCCACTTCAGAGAGTGCAGTGGCCAAGGATTTCTAGCTGGAAAGGGTGGCATTTTCTGATGTTAATGGGTTTTGGAATGGTGGACCCTGAACTATTTTTGTTTGATTTTTCTTTTTTTCTACCTCTCTTTAGCTCCCAGCTGCCAAAGGCTTTGTGGCTAATAGCTTTTATTCTGGTTTGACACCAACTGAGTTTTTCTTCCACACAATGGCTGGCCGGGAAGGTCTAGTCGACACAGCCGTAAAGACAGCTGAAACGGGATACATGCAGGTAATTGAAGAAATGTAGGCCATTGGCAACAGAGTAGGACAGAGTTCTGTGGATTTTGACTGCTGAGTGTTTACATATTTTGTACATGAGCTAAAATGTAATAAAAAGGAAAAATTAAGTAACAGAAGAAATTAACAAAAAAGGGTAATGTGAATGTTCCAAATGCTGTGTACCTCGAATGATCAAGACCAGGCCAGAGCCACACTTTGCAAGGCTCTATGGGAGGAGAATGTGCATTCTGGAACATAAGGGTTGACCCTCACTGAGCCTGTTTCCTAATGCACACAGTGGGAATGGCAGTGCATCTCCTGTCTATGGAGAAGACTCTGCTTCACTTTGCAGCTGTGTGTGTACTAACTCATTATTAGTATCATCTATCTTGGCATTTTGGTGCCCGCAGGGGAGCTGGGAGGGAAGGCTCCCCACTGTGTGTGCAGGCTAGGATAACAGGGCCAGGGGGTTAATTTAAACTAGAGGTTTCCTGTGCCCCTGATGCAGAGGAGTGGAAACACATTCCTGCTTTGTTCTTCTGTAGACTGGAAAAAAAAACCTTAGCAAGGGATTTTGTTTTGTTTCATTTTGTTTTGTTTTTTTCCAGTCTAATTTTCATTTCTTCTCTGTACTATTAATATATGTTTATTTAGTTTTAATGTTTATACCTATTATACTTACAACACCAAGTAAAGTTAACACTTCAAGTTGCTGGACCATGAACTCGCTGTAGCTTTGTGTCCTCTGTCTCCCACTGTGGATGCCAGTCTGAGAAGCATGGCCCTTTGCAAACTGGGCACCAGGGATGTGGGCCAGTGAGCCAGACAGACAAGGCCGCTGAGGGTGAAAACAGCTCCAACCAGTAGACACCTACCTCTCTACCCTCTTCTGTAGCTCATGTGGTGTGTCAATACTGATACTTCCCTTTTCATCATCTTTTGATGGGAAATTGCCCTTCAGTTTTGGAGTGTGCTGCTTTTGTCAAAAGCCCAAGGACTGAAATGCTTTTACCACTCTTGCCAGAATGTCTTTGACTCTATTTTTTGTCTTTACGTTTTGGAGTAGAATATGGATTTCCCAGAGCAGTGTGTTAACCTGGAACAAATTGGTTCTGGCAGCAGGGGTTTTTGTTTTGAAGTTGCCTGGAGGAAGAGTCCTCTCCCTAATTCACTGAGCCACCATCACATTGCTGCTGCAGTGGGTTCTGCTGGGGGAAGGTGTTCCCTGAGCAGATTTGAGAAATGGCTGCTGCCTGCTGGTTCAGACACAATGCTGGCCCTGTTCTCCTTCCCCTGTCCCAGAAGAGGGTCTGTACCTGATCCTCTGTAATTCATATTGAAGTCCACGGGGGTCCAAGATTAAGTTATGCTTAGAAATGCAAAACCGTTGCATTAATTTATACCTTAGGGAGAAAGAGAGAGGAGGCACAGCAGGCTAGGAAAACAGTGTTTGCATATTCCTTCAGGGTAGATGGGGTTTAAATTGCAGGTATTCTAAAACACACCAAAGTGCTGGAGGTTGGGCATATTCTAAACCCCACTGGACAGGTTAGTGAGGCAACTTGGCCTCATTCTTGGGGTTAGGGGGATCTTTCTAAGGGATTTCTAATAAAATGTTTTTATGTGATTTAATGGGCTAGTAACCTTGAAACTTAGACTTGGGAATCTCATTCTCTGCACATGTGACTAGTCTTTGTTTTCTGTTCGTTCCCTTTAGAGAAGGCTTGTGAAGTCCCTTGAAGACCTTTGTTCACAGTATGATTTGACAGTCCGAAGCTCTACGGGAGATATCATACAGTTCATTTACGGGGGAGATGGCTTAGATCCCGCAGCTATGGAGGGAAAAGATGAACCCTTGGAGTTTAAAAGGGTTCTGGACAACATCAAAGTAAGATTTAGTGTTATATCTGGGGTTGAAGTGTTCTTAGGATGGAGGTGCCCTTTGGAAAATCACACACAGTTTAATGCTCAATCATATCTACCCAACTACTGGCTTAGTATTTTCCTTTTATGTTACTCTGCATAAATTTTCCAATATTAAAGGAAAATATTTTCTCAATTTCAAAGTCTAGTGTTAGTCATCAAATGCCAGTAGAAGGGGGCTTTTGTTTCTGTGTAACAGGCCAGTGTTGTAAGTCATGGGTGTGAAAAGCAGTTACATTTCACATAATTTAGAGTAGCCTTTTAGAAGGTAGTTTGACAGTACTGATCTGAATTAAAATGTGGGTGCCTTTTGCTCCCATAGAGAGGAACCGGCCCTGCACAAATGATCTAAGGATGCCAAGAGTGTTTTCCAGCACTGCTTGTAGAGGCAGACCATCGGGGAGGAGAATTCAGATACATAGTGGTCTGCCTGTGCATTAGGATGATATGTATCCCTTACATCTTTGGGGAAATGCTATGAGCTTGAGGGTGGAGGAATATTTTCACTCTTAAAATATTTTGAAATTTTTAAAACAATTTGTATCTTTTATGCAAATCTGGGTTGGGGTGAAGTTTGGGAGCAATGTGATAATACCCAGAAGTCTTTGTGTAAGTGGAGTACCAGTTTATCGTTTCCACCTTCATATAAAGGTAGAATCTAAAACTTATTTTGAAGGAGAAAAACGTCACAGGTTGCTAGAAGATCTAAGTATCCTGTCTCTTGTAGCTTCTTTCATTTAATATTTCCCCCTTCTCCGTTGCCCCTGCCACTTCATGCTTTGTCCTTTGAACACTTGAGGCAGTCTTCCCGTGTCAGAGCGAGCCTGCACTCAGTAAAAACGAGCTGGTCCTGAGCACCGAGTCCATCATGAAGAAGCACGAGTTCCTCTGCTGCCAGGACAGCTTCCTGCAGGTAAGCTCCGGTGCTGATCGCCCCCCTGGCTGTCACCGGAAAGTGATGGCCAAGGGCCAGCAGGGGACTTTCATGAGATGGGGGAGGGGTGTTGTGTAAGAGTGTTTCTTTGTTTAAAAAAATTAAAGAACGGCTGAGGCAAAATCTCTGCAGCCAATGTGAAGAATTTATCCCAATCTTTCTTAGTTTGTGGCTTTTACACAAGTGTTTTCCTACTAGAAGAATATGCTTTAGCTAGAGAACTGATTTGTGCGTAACCCCTCCTGTAGGTCAGCTCTTCTTTGTTCATTCTGAATTCCAGTAATTTGTATTGGTAGTGGAGTTGTCTCAGTGCTCTTTTAAATCGCTCTTTCTCCTACTACAGTATGGATCAGAAATCCATGAGTCTGCCCTCCTTTTTCTTCAGGGGAGCTGATACCTGGGGATACTCTTAAGGGTTTTTTTGTTTGTTTTTGGTTTTTAATGTCACTGACCCATTTAAGCAGCTCCTTTCTCTTTATGTGGTTATGATCAAAAGCAAAGGGAGCTGAAACCTGTTTGGCTCAATGGATAGAGCATAGGCCTGAGGACTGAAAGGTCCTGGCTCGATTCCAGTCAAGGGCATGTACCTTGATTGCGGGCACATCCCCAGTAGGGGGTGTGCAAGAGGCAGCTGATCGATGATTCTCTCTCATCAATGTTTCTAACTCTCTATCCCTCTCTCTTCCTCTCTGTAAAAAATCAATAAAATAAAATTAAATTAAATTAAATTAAAAAAAAGGCAAAGGACGCAGGAACCGTTTGTTTCTTGTTTGTACTGATTGGTTATTCAAATGCAACAAAAAATCAGCAGGAATGTATCCCTTTCAGTATATCAGAAATAAAAACCATGCCCAGCTGGTGTGGCTCAGTACAGTTGAGCGTCACCCTATGAACTAGGAAGTCATGGTTCATTTCCAGGTCAGGGCACATGCCTAGGTTGTGCATTCAATCCCCAGTAGGGGGCGTGCAGGAGGCAACCAATCAATGATTCTCTCATCATTGATGTTTCTATCTCTCCTCTCTTCCTCTCTCTGAAATCAGTAAAAATATATTTAAAACATTTTAAAAAGCCACAGAGTGAAAGTGCAAAGATGCTTTCAGTTAAGAAAGCTTTACTTCTTCCTTTCATGTGTTGAGGAGTGAAAGGGGGAAAAGAATCTTACAGAAAGTAATATGCTTAAATCAAGAGTATGGCTAGGCTGGGTGCCTTTGTTTTAATGTTTTTCTATAGTTTTTTTTTTTTAACAAGTTAGAGTTATGGTTTTGTTTTTCTAAATCATCATATTTGCTTACATATTTCTGTTTATCCTTGAAGACCTTAACTGAGACAGGCTATGAGAAATATAACGAGGTAACGCACTTCGCATGCTGCCACTGCTGAGCGTAGAGGGGTGAACCGAGCAGCACTCGGCTGCTTGCCAGCCCTGGAGACGACAGCCCTTCATCCTAGGGCTGGCAAGCAGGCCTCCTGTGCGTCACTTTGGACGGGCCCCTTGCTTTTCTTTGACAAGGGTTATGGGTGACCTCTGACCTCGGTGTTTATTTAGTCAGTGAGCAGCACTGTGTCATACACTGTGCAGGTCCTGGGAACACAAAGATGACTAAACATGTCCTTGCCCTTCAGTGGCTCACAATCTGGTGAACTCAGTCTTGCCAAGAGGGTTCAAAATCCGCTGGCCAGACAGATTTGTCTGAGCCTCTGAGATGTGTCCCGGCCCTCGCCTTGCCAGAGCTGAGGCAGCGGAGGCGGCTGCTGCGTGGCGTTGAGCCCTGGCCCTGCCAGAGGCTGGTGCCCCTGCTCACAGGCTGCTGTGGTGTGGGTGTGAGAACCTAACTGCTAGTTAAGCGTGTGATTAATTGCCTGTCACTTGCCATGTTGTGAGTTCCCTGCAGTATGCATGGATTGATTCAGCTGAATTCTTAGTAGCTTATTTCAGTTTGCATTTCTGAAAAATGAGCCCTTTTTTTTTAACCTCCAGAATGTCTAACTTTTGTGTAAGCCATTTCAGCAAAGCCGCTGGAAGCGGGTCTCTGGGTGGCCGCTAAAGTTCGTTTCCGGAGCCTGAGCTGGGGAGTGGCTTTAGGTGTGTCCTCTACTGTGTGTGCAGAGTTCCTCCAGATGCCTGGCCGCGGGCTCTCTCTCCAGCTTCCCTGCACCGGCAGGTGGTGCACCTTTAACACCGGCGACAATGGCAGCATCTGAGCCACGAGGGTCTCAGGAGCTTGCCCTAAAGGATACAGCAGCGGCTAGAATAGAAGGCGGGGAGGAAGTCAGCAATGTGGAAGAGGCTCTTCCCACAGATAACATAGAGGAAAAGTGAGGCAGCACAGCGTATGCCGCCTTTGAATAGTCCCTGTTAGGCAGAGTCACACCCAGGGAGAGGGCCCTGCTCTGTGGTGTGTGCTCTCAGCTCATTTGAGAAGTGCCCAGTCAGTCCTATCAAGTGTGACCCCTGGGAGCCGCACCCTGAAGGGGGCAGTGCATCACAGCGCAGCACACCCTCCGTAAGCACTGGCGGGAGGAGGTGACGGCTGTCCTGGTCCTGGGAGAGACCATGAGGCTGGCTTTATTTCACACACTGTCAGCTGTAAAACTGATGGTTTTTCTCCCCTCTGGGGGTTGCCAGAAAACTTTGCCTCAGGTCTGTGGTCTCCAATACTGCCCTCCTCATGATGTACTTCTCACCTTCCTTGCTCCACTTTGTCTCCATCCTGCTGCTTAAAGTTCTGTTCTTCCATCCTTTTTTGTTTTTTTGTTCTTTGAGAGTACTTAAATAGAGCAGCAGGAATAGCAAATATACTGATGTTTCAATTCTAGCTGAGAGCGGTTTCCAGGAACCCTTCCAAATTTCTGATTGTGTGGGAAGGGAGTCGGAGACTGAGGGGTGAGGCTGAGGTGAGAGTAAGGGAGCTGAGTGTGGGGGTGTTTCTTTTGAAATGTACAGAATGTCTGCAAAGCCTGTTAGTTTTTAAATTGATCATAATGACTTCAGGAGAAAATCTAAAGTTAATCAGTCTAGAAACTAAGTATAACAGTGCATTTCTACCTGCTCTGAGCTGTGTGAATGGAGGCAGTATGTATGCCGGGAGAGCAAAGGGACAGTGGAAGGTAAGAAGGCTTACCTAGTATAAGGGCGACATGGCAGGGCCAGGAAAGTGGTGGTGTGGGCCATTGCTGAAGCATCATTGGAGAAAAAAGGCTCTAGAAATATCTGAACCAGTGAGCGCTGTGTCCAGGATGTGGATGATTGGGTTATTCCTTGGTAGAACATTTTGTATTACAGTAAGAACTTTATCCATGTTGTATCCCTTAAAGTATGCATTTAGCTGTCACTATGTTAGTGATACCATGGGCTTGCCTATTACTGAAGTTCACAAAACACATCATGTCATCTGAATTATTGATATTTGCTATGTAATCATTCAGGAAATAAAGGAATTCATTAAGGGGGTTTCTGAGAAGATCAAGAAAACCAGAGATAAATACGGCATCAACGACAACGGCACAACAGAGGTAAATGGCCTTCCCAGCTGGAAGGGCGGACACTCGGGTATTTTCAGGTGCCAGCCCTAACTCTGCACTTGGTTTTCTTCTCCAGCCCCGGGTGCTGTACCAGTTGGACCGGATCACCCCCACCCAAATAGAAAAGTTTCTGGAGACCTGCAGAGATAAGTACATGAGGTAGGATGCTCACCGTCTTAGACTACTGGCTAGTCACAAGGGTCTCAGAGCCTTCCTCTTGGCCCATGGGAACAGAATTCTGCACCAACACCACTTAGTGATTGCCTGTATATACGGATGCTCCAAGGTGTGGAATTGCAAAGAAATCTCCAAGTGTTTTCTCCCTACAAAGAAAGTACTAATATATATTTGGCAGGCGCCATCCCTGTCTCTGCCTTCAGTTCCATTTGTTAGCAGGCGCTCATAGCTTCTTCAGGCAGTAGACTTGGGGCCCAGTCATTGCACGTTGACCACAACTAGGCACACAGTATTCAGTTTCATCATCTGACCCTTCTGGGCATTGTGTCTCCTGTATGCACATATTACTGATCTATGCCAGTTCCTCCTGCCACCAGCAGAGCTTGGCTCGTTGAAATTCCTTCCTGACCCTGAAGGCATTTTTTTTCTGCTGAAAAGAAATAATCAGAAGCTTCTCCCTGGCAGATTTACTGGACTTTCCATCCATATCTTCCTTCTAGGGCACAGATGGAGCCTGGTTCTGCGGTAGGTGCCCTCTGTGCCCAGAGCATCGGGGAGCCAGGCACCCAGATGACCCTGAAGACTTTCCACTTTGCAGGCGTGGCCTCCATGAACATCACCCTGGGTGTGCCCCGCATCAAAGAGATCATCAACGCTTCCAAGGCCATCAGGTGCCCGCCTCCGTTTCCCTTCTGCTCCCATACTGCCTGTCTCGTTTTTTCAGAAGCAGTGACTCTTGTCGTGTGTGCTGTTTAAATGGGCAGTATCTCAAACTTCAGTGGCCTGCCTGTGTTAATCATATTTTAGCTTTTAAAAAACCCTCTGAAAAAAAATGTTAGTTGAAACTAGATAGGTAAAGTCAAAATTGAAAAGTGGTTCTTTATGGCCATTGGTCACATGAAAGAGAGAAACCTAAAGAACTACTGGGAAAATGACAGCAATGTGGCAATGAAGATTTCAGACTTTTTTTGTTTTTGTTAATCCTTACCCAAGGATCTTTTAAGTTTCCCCTTTTTTTAGAAATTGGGAGGGGGATGGAGAGAGAGAGAAACATTGATATAAGAGAGACACATCGATTAGTTGCCTCCTGTACATGAACTGGCTAAGGCCAGGGATTGAATTTGCAACCCAGATACATGCTCTTGATCAGGAATCAAATCTGAGATCCTTCGGTGCACAAGCCAACACGCTAACCATTGCACACCCAACCAGGACTAGGTTTCCCTTTTCTTTTGAAATGTTTTACTGATTTCAGAGAGAGGGGAAAAGAAAGATATAAACATCAATGATGAGAGAGAATCATTGATTGGCTGCCTTCTGACACACTTCCTGCTGGAGATGGAGCCCACAACCTGGGCACGTGCCCTGACCAGGAATTGAACTGCCAATCTCCTGGTGCATTGGTTGCCACTCAACCACTGAACTACACGGCCAGGCAGGTTTCAAATTTTTGATGTTATATTTCCAGCCTAACCAGGCCTGACTGATGTGTCTTCCATTTGGGCTGTGGTCATGTTCTGTGACTCCTACGTGATTTCATGATAGGATTTGTAGGTGATCTGAGATTAGAAAATAGAGAAATATGTTACAGTGCATGTGATGATTCATCTGTGATCTGAGTAAACATAGCATTAAGTGAAGAAAAGCTGCATGTGGCTGTGGAATGGCAACCATAGACGTCCACGGTGGCAGGGGCTCCGCCTCGTCCAGGACTGTGTGTTCAGGGGACACTACCAGGACAGTGGGTGTTGGGGGAGCTGGAGGTGTCCTGGAGAGCAGGTTATGGGGCAGGGAAAAGGGATGGCGGAAGCTATAATACACAAAGAGCCATTTTACTCAGGAAACAGAACTAATTAACTACTGATTAGGGCCAAAGAGGAAGAGATAGGTGTACTTGGTCAGAAAGAATTTCATGGAAGACATTTCATTCACTGGTAGAGTGGTTTGCTTCATTGACTCCAAAAATAGTAAATGTAAATGAGAATGTCTGGCCCTAGCTGGTTTGACTCAGTGGATACAGTGTCAGCCTGCAGACTGAAGGGTCCCGGATTCGATTCTGATCAAGGTCACATGCTTGTGGGCTCCATCCACAGTAGGGGGTGTACAGGAGGCAGCCAATCAATGATTTTCTCTCATCATTGATGTTTCTGTTTCTCTCCCTCTCTCTTCCTCCCTGAAATCAATAAAAATATATTTTAAAATAATAAATGAGAATGTCTGAGGAAGCAGCTTGACAGCAAATGCTCAATTAGTTGCAGTTGCTTTTGTGTGCGGATTTAGCAAGCAGCCATCTTTGAGCAGGCTTACTCCTCGTGCTGATATTGTTTTTGCTTTACTTTTCTCAGCACTCCAATCATCACGGCTCAACTAGACAAGGATGACGATGCAGATTATGCTCGCCTCGTGAAAGGGAGAATTGAGAAAACTCTCTTAGGAGAGGTAAGGAGAAATCCCTTTTAATAATGAGAAAACTAGATCGGTCATATTGCAAGGAAATATAAAAGCCAGGTGCAGTAGGTATGCCACTCGGTGTGTCCACACTATTGAATGTCCTTAAAAGAAAAGAGAGAGCAGGCCTGGCCAGGTACTCTGTTGGTTAGAGCATCATCCAGATACACCAAGGTTGCAGGTTCCATCCCCGGTCAGGAAATGTGCAAGAAGCAACCAATGAATGCATAAATAAGTGGGACAACAAAATCCCCTCCCTTGTCCTATCCCTCTAAAATCAATTTTAAAAAACAAAAAAGAGTAAGCAGGCCCTGGCCAGATAACTCAGTTGGTTAGAGCAGCATCTCATAACACCAAGGTGGGGAATTCAATCCCCAATCAGGACACATACAAGAAACAGCCAGTGTCTCAGCTGATGCGGATCCGTGGTTGAGTGTCAACCTAGGAACCAAGAGATGAAGGTCCTATTCCCAGTCAGGGCACATGCCTGGGTTGCGGACTCAGTCCCCAGAAGAGGGAGAGCGGGAGGCAATCAATGGATGATGTTTCTCTCTCATCGGTATTTCTATCTCCCTCTTCTTTCCTCTCTCAGTGAATAGAAACATATTTTTTAATATATTTTATTGATTTTACACAGAGAGGAATAGAGAGGGATAGAAAGTTAGAAACGTCGATGAGAGAGAAACATCGACCAGCTGCCTCTTGCACAACCCCATTGGGGGTGTGCCCGCAACCAAGGTACGTGCCCTTGACTGGAATTGAACCGGGACTTTTCGGTCCGCAGGCCAATGCTCCATCCACTGAGCCAAACCAGTCTCGGAACGTATTTTTTTAAAGAAAGAAACATGCAGTGAATGCTTCTAGAAAAAGGGAAAGTGGCTGACTAACGTGCCGGTCTTCTGATACACAGATTTCAGAATACATTGAAGAGGTGTTCCTCCCCGACGACTGCTTTATCCTGGTCAAGCTCTCCCTGGAGCGGATCAGACTCCTGAGGCTGGAAGTGAGTCGTTACCTAAACGTGTAGCGGCAGTCCTCTGTGCGTCCCAGGCTGTGCCGGTGAGGAGGCCAGCACGGGCGCTGCAGAGGCTTGCCTTCGGTGCTTCTGTGTGAGTCTGTTGCACCTTCACGGTCTCTTTCTAAACCTGACCTGACACAGATGTTGCCATCGAACGTCACACAGGAAATGAGTTGAAATTTTGTGCAGGCCACCGTACGCATTCACCATGACAAAGAGCTGCCGTATTGGTCTTGTCCGTCTTCCCAGTGTCTAGAAGGGCCCTAGGGCGGTCTGTGTCTTCCAAATCTCTGGCCCCAGCGCCAGCACTGCACCTGGCTGGCTCAGGGAATGTTTTTGGGTGAACAGGTTATCCTTACTTACCACATGGCATTTATGATTGAAAGATTATCAGTCCTTCTCAGGGACAGACTGAGGCGGGGCACAAACTGAGTAACTTCTTGGCACCTTTCTCCCCTCTCTGGCTAATTAAAATCCATACTAGTCTTCACACATTTTGTGCCCCTTCTCTCAAGTACCAAGTTCATGTGTGTTTTAATGGAAAGATGACCCAAATTGAGCAGCCAGTTCTCCAGGTCAGGGTTTCTCCAGGCTGGCTCTGGCCACCTGCCTCTGTCCTTTAGCACAAGAGCGGGGCCGCATCGGGAGTGTTGATAGGAGTAGCTGTGAGGTCGTACAGGGGAAGTGGCACTGATGCTTTTAAATTGTCCTGGCCGCCAACCTCGCACTCCAGACTCCCCTGGAGCCTAGGCATGCCGCCATGAATTGAGCATGCATTTCCAGTGGTTTGTGGAGGGACTATAAAAAGAAACTTTTATAAATAAGCACAGATTAACATACAGTACATAATAAAGATAGTATATCTCTAGTATTAGAATTTCAAGGAGGGGAGAGAGATTCAGGGGGGAGCCTGAAAAGACTTCCTAGAGGGGCACGATGACAAAAGGCTGAGGAATACTGGAATCAGAGGCTCCAAACCGTCAGTAATGCCCTGGGCGTGCGGCGTCCCGCCCCCACAGGTGAACGCAGAGACGGTGCGGTACTCCATCTGCATGTCCAAGCTCCGAGTGAAGCCGGGCGACGTGGCTGTTCATGGCGAGGCCGTGGTGTGTGTCACCCCCCGTGAGAATAGCAAGAGCTCCATGTACTACGTGCTGCAGTTCCTGAAGGAAGACCTCCCCAAGGTGAGGCCACAGCCCCCCTCAGGCCCTGCCCACCCAAGTGCCGGGAGGTTTGTAAGGGGATGCGTTTACCTCCAACGTCAGTATACAGGCCCCAGTGCACCCTAAGTGCTGTCACTGCTGAGACTGAGGGGGCGCCCGTTTCTCCTTCTGTGCCACCCTCCTAAGGAATCAGTTGGTGTTTTCTTCATAGTACAGTCACACCAGCTCTGTCTGTCAGACTCCTCTGTTCTCATAAAACTGACGCCCGGGAAGGGCACTGTTCCTGAACTGCTGCCTTCTCCCTGGACCTCAGGACGGTGGGCAGGACTTTCAGGCGCGGACGTCGCTGATGCTCCCCACTGAGAACAGGATGGTCCCGGGAACACCCGGGCCCGGCATCCACTCCTCTCTGCTGTGGTTTCTGAGGCTGCCGGGTGGCGGGGGCCACGGCACTGCGGGGCCTCAGCGTCTGTGTCTCTGAGTCCAGGTGGTGGTGCAGGGCATCCCAGAGGTGTCCAGAGCTGTCATCCACATCGACGAGCAGAGTGGGAAGGAGAAGTACAAGCTCCTGGTGGAGGGTGATAACCTGCGGGCAGTCATGGCCACTCACGGTGTGAAGGGCACCCGAACCACCTCCAATAACACGTATGAGGTACTGCTCACACCTGGATCCCCTTACACGCGTCCTGTCTCCCTCAGCTGGTTTCTGGCCTCCTGGGACAGCTGTTTGCTCTGGGTCTGCCACTGAAAACCTGATTCTGGAAAGGGTGCGGGGCTTGCCGTGAACCTTCAGGGCAGCGGGGAGAAGGGGAGTGGCACCTGGAAGTGGCTGCTTCCGCTCACCCTGGCTCTCCGTAGGTGGAGAAAACACTGGGCATCGAAGCTGCCCGGACGACGATCATCAACGAGATCCAGTACACGATGGTCAACCACGGCATGAGCATCGACCGGAGGCACGTGATGCTGCTCTCCGACCTCATGACCTACAAGGTGCGTGGGGCCCAGTCTCAGGAGAATGAAGCCGGCCTGCTGATAAGACAGAGTGCTTGCTGTGGTGGCCACTGCGAGAAAAGATGTCACCATCCCCCAAAAACAAGGCCTGACGGGCAGGCTGGGTGTTCTGGTAAAATGCCTGTACAAACACCGCAACCTCCTGGTATGAGGGGGAGAATGGTTTTGTTCTTGGTAGAAATGTATCCTAAACCAAAGCCAGCTATTGCCAAGGCCGGGGTGTCCTGGCTAACCGAGGTGTTTATTCCCAATGAAACCATTTATCACACTTCTGTAGCCATTTCCAGGAAAAGACTAAGTTAACATGATCATGGGGGGCTGAGGTTAGATGGTTATGTATTTTTTTTTTTTTTTTAAAGTCTCCCCTCTAGCAGCACTATGGGACAATAGGTTGTAATGGCCTTCCCATCCAGACTGTGCTGCACTCGAGGGCCGGACACTCCCAGCTGGAAAGGCCTCTCCCACCTGGAGTCCAGGCCATGCTTTAAGGTCCTGCTTTCAGTCTTACTCCGCAGCATATATTGTTACTGCGGTTGCAGTGAACAGCGGGCCTGTCGTTTTTTATGCTGTCTTTTTTAATTTAACGTTATATTCTCCATTTTGTTACATGGCTTTTAAGTATACTTTTTAATGGTGCCAGAATATTCCTTTTGGTGAAAACACCTAAATGGACTTAACTCTATCCTTGCTTTGTGCTTTTTGAGTTTTAAGTTCTTCTTTACGTAACGAACATCTTCAGAAAGTACTCTTTTTTCTCTAGATTCTTATCTCTTTGTCCCACGGCCCCTGCTTGTGAGTGTAAGGATCCCTGTTGTCAGTGGCTGGCAGCCTCACTGAGGCGGGGGGACAGTAACTGTTAGGGTCCTGCGCACACCTGAGGTTGTGGCTTGAATGAAACTGCATTTGGCTGGTTTTTGCTTGTTCTGTGAGGAGATGCCGTGGGTGCGGTTGGGTTTGAGCTTTCATTAGTGGCGTGGGTGCCAGTCTGACAGGTTTCTCCTTTGACACAGGGCGAAGTCCTGGGCATCACCAGGTTCGGCCTGGCCAAGATGAAGGAGAGCGTGCTGATGCTGGCCTCCTTCGAGAAGACGGCGGATCACCTCTTCGACGCTGCCTACTTTGGGCAGAAGGACTCCGTGTGCGGTAGGTGTGCTAAGAGCATCAGCGGAGGCCTGGGGTGTTTGAGCTTAGACCCTGGCTGGGGCTTTCTGAGAGGCAACCACACTGAATCGGCGGCAGAGCTTCTGTTTTCTAACAGTAAAGTCACAGATCATGGAGCTGGAGCCAGTAGATTTTTATCTCCCAATTTTGACTGGAGCACCCCACATCTGGTAGGAGGCTGCTCCTTCAGGACAGTTTTCGGTCCAAGAAGAAAAGATGGACCCTGCGCGTACAGGAGCCTTTCCAGCCCCTGAAATCGCTACACCGCACCTGCACCCTCGTGATGCCAAGGCCGGCAGGAGGGGCAGTGCCAGGCCTCCCTGTTGTCCTGACTCCCCGGCAGAAAAGCCTGCCTTTTGTTTTTTGGAGCCCCTGTTCTGGGAACCTTAGATGTCCGTATCTCAGCACCTCTGTGAGTTGTATCAAACCTGTTTGCAAGTAAGAAGACGGAAAAACTAACTTGCCTGCCATCCCTGCCAGCTGCAGAGTCTTGCCCTGCCCTGGCCTTGCCCCCCCCCATCACAGAGTGCATCTCCGCCGGAAGCCTGGAGAGGAAGGAAGGGGAACTGCCATAAAGTCCCTGCTGCCCACACGGCTCTTCCTGGTTCCTTTACAAAGTGCCCGCTTTACTCTAGCCTTTCTCGTGCCAAGATCCTGCAGGCCTGAGGGGGGAACTCGTGAGGAGCTGGGCCGCAGGAGGCTCAGGAGCCTCCCTAAGCCACAGGGATTCTAGGCCTGGCCGCCTCCGCGCCTCCAGAGCTCTCCTTCCCCCTGGCCATTCCCAGCACCTCCTGCTCTTGAGTGGATTTGCCACACAGGGGATGGGCAGGTGGAGCCCCAGGCAGTGTACACCTAAGATGCACTCTTCCTCCTCTCAAAGGGCATCAGCTGCAGATAAAGGGAAAGAGGAATTACATAATCCTTTAAGATAATAAAAGGTGAAAGAAAAGGAAGCAGGGATTGGGGCAGAGAAGGCCAAAGCCAAGGTAAAGGTAAGAGCAAGAGTGCTTGACCAGGGCGCTAAGACCCAGCACCCCAGCCTTGCCACCAGGATGGAGGCCCTGGGTCTGTGCTGCAGCCCTGCTGCCTGCCTGTGGCCTGCCCACTGCCCCTCTCTCCGCTGCTGTCCCCTTTGGGGCCTGGCCCAGCCACCCACCCCCACTGAAATCTTCCCTCTCCTGGTCCTGGACACGTTGTAATGTAACGTCGTCCTCACTGCATGTTGGTTTTAGTTTGGTTGTTTGCCTTTGCCTTCCTGGTTTCCTGATAGCACCAAGCCCAGAATGTAGTAGGCACACACTTGTTTTAGAGCCAGAAGCTGGCTGCAAAGCCCAGCACTGGATTTTGTAAAGCCGAACGGGGGCTCAGAGAAAGAATCTGCACTACCTCCCTACTCTGTGGCTCTCCAGGGAGCCCTGCCTTCTGAGTGTTTCTGGCTAGAGTTGTGCCTCCCCCAAGGCTGGGGCCGCTGCCTTCAGCCTGGCCCAGGCCTGGGTGCCGAGCACAGTGAGCAGCTTGCTGTTGCTGTTTCCTGACCATGCTGTCCAGTTTGCTTTTCTTCTGGGCCTAAGTTAAGCAAATACTGGATGGCAAACTCAGGAGTCCCTGCGCATCCTTCACTAGCCTTGCTGTCTACGTTAGCGCTACAGAGGGTCTGGCTTTGGGGAGAGAACCACTGATCCATCAGTCTCCAGCCGGGAGCTGGCTGTGGGCTGGCACAGCCCTTCCCCTGAATGTAAGAATCTCCACCAGCTGGGAGCAGGTGCCAGCCTGCGCTTCGCAGCTTCCCCTGTCGTAGATGAGTAAAGTGGCCAACCCAGGTTCAACCAGTTGATGTGTCGTGGGCTGGGACTTGAAACCCAGTTTCTGGCTCCTAGCAGTGGCTCTGTCCTGACAACCCACTGTGTGTCAGCAGCTCTCTAATCTCCTTCTGGTTGCTTTCAGGGGTGTCCGAATGCATCATCATGGGGATCCCCATGAACATTGGAACCGGGCTCTTCAAGCTGCTCCACAAGGCCAACAGGGACCCGAGCCCTCCCAGGAGGCCCCTGATCTTCGACACAAACGAATTCCACATCCCTCTGGTCACATAGCCTCGGGAAGAGGGGACCAGCGGCTGCCTCGGCGCTGTGCTCCTTGGGACAGGCCCTGCTGTCCCCACCATGCCAGCAGCCAGGGCAGGCCCCGGCACCCCGGGAGCAGCTCACCCAGTGACCCTGACACCCCACAGTGCTTGGCTGGGACAGCTGAGGCTTCTCCACACCTGCCACCTCCTCTACCTCTCTGACACCAGGAGGCCCAGCTAGGAGTCCTCACTCATCCCCCCATCACCAGGAACGAGGGGCCCGAGCCCCAGGGCCAGGGCACCGTCCCAGGTTCTCCGCCCCTTGGTCCTGCCTGACTCAGTGTAATGTATTTGTGTAAATATTGTTACTATTATTTATTTGGTCAGTTTGAAAAAGTTGGCGTTTTTGTTATTTGATTTTACTTTTGAAACTCAAAAGCTCAGAAACCAAGAAAGCCAATTCCTGAAGCGCCTGGAAAAACTGGCTGAGCCAACGAGCCTGTCTGGGATTGGAAAGTGAGCCAAGCCGCCCTGAGGCCCCAGCTGCTCTGAAACGCTCTCATGCCCTGGCTACCCCGTTGCTTCGTCTGCCTCCAGCTCCTTCAGGTTGTGGCACTGCCTTGTCACTGCCTGTGACAGAGTCAGGGGCCCATTCTTCCAGGCCCACGGAAGCCTTGCTGGCGTTTGGGCCTGCTGGGGTGGGATAGCCAGTGTTCGTGGAGGTGATGAGTGAAGCTGGCCCAGCTGCCAGCACTACCTGGGTGGCCTCCCACCCTCCTGAATAATGGCCTGTGTGCACAGGGGACAGGTGCAGAACTGGTGGCCTGAGAAGTGCCCCAGGGCAGTGGCAGCAGGTGCCAGCTGTAAGGGGTGAAAGGGTCACCCAAACAGGAGGTGGGGTCAGCTGGAGCTGGGGACTTGCCCCATTTGGCAACAGCAGACTCCTCGAAGAGTAAATACTGTGACAATAGGATGCACATGCCAGGCCATCTTCTGCTGGTGACTGTACCTTCCCTGGCGTGGGTTTCACGGCCTCTGGAGTATAGGGTGGCGGGAGGGAACACCAGCAGCACCCACTTGCCTTTGTGTGCCACATGCTTAAAATGGGGAGGAAAGATGGCAACAGTGTGTTGTGAGTAACAAAGACGCATTGCCAGGAGCCCCGGCCACCTGGGAGCGCTCATGGGACGGGATTGTAGTGGATGCAGATGGGTTGGGATCAGCATGTGTCTCAGGATAGAAGGGTTCTGTGAGGGAGAAGTGAGGGGTCCTGTAGGCACTGGTTCTCGGGTCCTGCCGGCTGCTGGGACCACAGGCACACCAATGTAGGCTGGGAACTGTGTGTGCCATGGGGGGTAGTGAAATTGTCCCTAATGGAATCATCTCCCTGCCCTGAGCACTGAACTTAATAGTGAGCACAGAGCTTGAAGACCAGATTGCCCTGTGTTCTCCAGAGTGAACTCCATAGGTTAGGGTTTACTCTGGGCCTGTTTGGAAGAAATAAGAAAAACGTTTATATTCTGTCTCAGCCATTCACACATACATATTCCTGCCTAGTCCTCTGTCTAGCAGTTTGCCCTTTTTTATCTTTTACAAAGGATTAAAATAGCTATTGCCTCCGTTACAACCCCTGCTGTGTTCAGCACTTTGAGAAGGAGAAACATCCCAGAGTTTCACTGTGTCAGTTAAATTATGGTGTGTTTCCACTTCAGGGTTTATCTGTGTACATTCACATTGATTCATGTCTGATTGAACCTGACACTGTATAATGATTTTTCATAAATTTTTGCTCCCTCTTGGCAGAATTCTATTTTTCTACCAAAGCTCAAAAGAGGAAAAATTGATATGCATAAAACTAGCAATTCATCCTGGAGGTCAGCGAATTTCAACTGGTGTGTTGCAAGAATTTTTAAAGCTTGCAATGCTTGGCCGTTTAGTCAGGAGCACTGACCTCTTTTCCCTTAGAGTGACAAATTAAACAAAGACAACAGTCAATAACAGTAGCCATTCGGTGTGAATGAGTCAAAACTATACCATTTTTTTTCCTGTCTGATCGGATGGAGATTTTATATATATATTTATTATGTATGCCACAGCATTTTAGTATTTATGTGTGCCCTGATGAGAGGGGAAGACATCGCTGCTGTGGGTTATGAAGCAGATGATTGGGATAAACTGGTTGGGATAGGCTCTGATTCAAAATGACCATGTCCCTGCACTAGGCCCCTGTCAGGTGCTGGGGTCAGCAGTAAGCACCAACCCCACACTGTGATGGAGCTGATTCAAACCCAGAGAGGCAGTAATGCCCCCTAAGTACTGGAAGTGCCACCTGGCCAGGACCAGGTGCCAGCTCAACTCTTCATTCAACAAATAAGGGCCTCCTATGTCGAAGACACTGTGCTAAGAAATAGAAATACAGCAGTAAAACAGGTCCATTAGCTACAGATGTTTCTTAAAATAGCTCAGCAAAGTGGGTAAAGAGGTTCTGCATCAAACTTGGCAAGAAGTGTATCTAGCATAATCTAGGGCCTGGTTCCTGTGGGCAGGCTCAGCACTCCAGGCCTCACTAGGGTCCCTCTGAACCAGAGTAACCCCCACCCCAGGTTCCAGCCTCCCCTTCAGAACCCTTTAAGCCCCCAGTTTGGTCTCCCCCTTGGATGTGGATGCCAGAGGGCGTGAACTTGAGCAGAGGACAGCCTGCAGACCCTGGGGAAGCGTGCTGCCGTCCTCTCCCCAGCCCCAGCGACTTGCAGGGTTAGTGAATGGATGTTGACCATGTGTATTGGTTAAGCTCCTGCTCTGTACCTGGCAGTGTGCTGGGCCCCTAGGGACGGCCCCTGCACACTTGGGACTTACCCGTCTGGCTGCAGTCATCGTGTTAAAAGCCTGGGTTCTATGATCAGACTATTGGAACTCAAATCCCAATTTCCCTTTTCTGTCTGTTGACCTTGAATGGTACCTAACTCGGTCATTGTTAAGTTTCAATGTGATTGTGCATATAAGATATTATTGCAGCACCTGGCACAGAATATATACTCATCAAGTATGCTTGCATTTTTTTTTAATAATGTGACTATCACTATTTTTACTAAAAAAAAAAAAAAAGTCTAAAAAATCACAACTAAAACCCAACTCTCTAGCCCTTTTAAATTGCGGCCTTGGGGATGAGGCCTCCTGACTTAGCCCTGCCCACTCAGCTCCTCAGTAGGTTTCAGTGTTCACACCACACTGGAGAGCGGGGAAGGGGCCGACCTCGCAGTCGTGGAGCCAAGGGCCTGAGCACTAAAGTTTAGCCCTAGAGCAAAAGTGATCTCAAATGTTTATGGTCAGTAAGACCAACATAACAGGGTTGTTTTGTTTAATATATTTTATTGATTTTTTACAGAGACGAAGGGAGAGAGATAGAGAGCTAGAAATGTCAATGAGAGAAACATTGACCAGCTGCCTCTTACACACCCCCTACCGGGGATGTGCCTGCAACCAATGTACATGCCCTTGACTGGAATCGAACCTGGGACCTTTCAGTCTGCAGACCAACGCTCTACCACTGAGCCAAACCGGTTTTGGCAGGGTTTTGTTTTCGTTTTTTTAATTGAGAGAGATGGATAATGGTATTTATATCAGATTATTATGTAACAAGGTGTCTGTCCCATGAGGATCTCAGTCTCTATGAGGGGGGACTTAACTTTTCTCTGTCTCTTAAAGGAAAAGCTGCTATTTAAAAGTCATCAGCAGCCCTGACCAGTTTGGCTCAGTGGATAAGAGCCTCTGTCTGTAGACTGAAGGGTCCCAGGTTCGGTTCCGGTCGTGGGCACATCCTCAGTGGGAGGTGTGCAGGAGGCAGCTGATCAATGTTTCTCTCTCATTGATATTTCTAGCTCTCTGTAAGAGATCAATAAAATATATTTAAAAAATAAAACTCATCAGCAAAGACTATGTAAAGACATCAGTAATAATGGTTGCCTTGGGGATAGAAACATGACTGAAGGGTACAGGTGGAGGGGACTTAATTTTCACTTGATGGTGTTTTCAGTTATTATATTTTTAAATCAGTATCTGATGCTAAAGAAATTCAGTCACCTTGGAACTGAGTTGGTTCTGAGTGTTCTGTTCTGAAAGGAGCTGAGTGGTAGCAGGTAGACACCAGATATTCAGGAAGAAAGGTATTGTTATCAGGATCAGGTGACCAAAAAACCTAACATTCTTAAATACCTAAGATTTTCTTTTGACGGAAAGCCAACGGGGCATTCCAGGGCCGACAGCAGTTTTCCAAAGCTGTGAGGGACCCAGGCCGCTCTCGGCCTCACCTTCCACATCAGGGTATGACACCAGCCTCATTCCTCATGGCCCAAGGGAGCTGATGAAGCCCCAGGCATTCCAGCCAAGAGGAGGAGGAAAAGCCATAACTTTTGAGAGCTTTCCCAAAAGTTACTTGACATCCCTGTTAACCCCCTCGGCCAGCACTAGCCAAGCCCAGCGCCAAGGGAGGCTGGAAAATGCTTGGGTTCTGAGTGGCTGTGTGCTTACCTATAAGTAGGGGCTTCTGTTAGCAAAGAAAAAGAAATAGGAAGTAGGAAACAATTGCTTCCGCCTTTGGTGTATTGTGTTTTAATTAAGCCCCTCAGGACTGGAATGTTCTGGAGCAGGTGGGACCAAGGCATCTTCCACTTCAGAAGAGAGACTGACCCTGACCCCTTCCCTCTCCCTTTGTCTCTGTTTCTTGCAACTTTTATGCCTGAGTTCTTTTTACTAAACTGACTATTAAATTAGGTCACATTCACTGAGCAGACTGTTCAAACTATCTGGGCTGATGGAAAATATAACTGTCAGACTATTCAATAAATTACACTTTTTAAAAATATATTTTATTGATTTTTTTACAGAGAGGAAGGGAGAGGGATAGAGAGCTAGAAACGTCGATGAGAGAGAAACAACCATCAGCTACCTCCCGCACACCCCCCACTGGAGATGTGCCCGAAACCAATGTACATGCCCTTGATCGGAACCGAACCCGGGACCCTTCAGTCC